TGCAGTTACTCTCAACGTTACGGGAATAAAAGATTAAGCAAACCAAGACTATATCTCGTCTTTTCCCTAATTATTTGTTCTATATAATTAACAGACAGTTAGTATTGAGTTAACCGTCGCTTCTGTCCTGTTACCACCATTACCATGGAGCGCTTCCACCTACCTCCTGATCAAATGTCCATCTTTACTTGATCGCAATATCACTCCCTTAAAACTAACAACAAAAAAGCGTTTACAATGTTTAAAATACAGTGACTCAAATGTTCCTCTCAAACTGATCCTGAAGGAAGAACATCATTTGAACTTTGAGTCAACAGTGATATCTTGAAGCTCTTTAGTGTTCCTGTCCATAACCCTGACCGTACTGTGAGGTTAATATACAGTTTTTATATTTACAAAAGTCTTTCCGTCATCATCTGGTGAGAGACAATAGTAGTAGAATGACAATATCCTCAGAGGTTTATCATTAAAAGAGAACCTAACTTGTTAACAAACATCCAGATCAATGGAACGATACACCTATACTGTCTCCTACGGTCTGTGATAATTATGTGACGCCAGGCCCGCGTGGGGGCTGACTCGTAAAGCCTCACCATAGGGGGCCATGTCGTGGCTATGGGCCATTATTCCTTCCTCTTCGTCCTCCATAAAAACAAATCACCGTACCACCGTCCCCGGCATCTTCTCATCTCTGCCCTGGTCTTGCATCCTGTCCTTCTTCACGTATTTTCCACAGTTTCTGTACACCTAACACTTCAGCATTGGTGACTGGGATAGATAAATCTAAATTTGACTCACTATCTTCCTGAAATTTAGCTACTCAAACATCTAACTGAAGCCCGACCCGAAAATAAAACTTTCATTTTTTTTAGTAGAACATTACAGTGGCCACCATCGCCAACATGGATAAAAATAATGGCTTTCCTGTCACGCTATATTGCCAGTGAATAGAATATATAAACACTGTAAATTTATCCTATCCATGACATTTATAGGTTATGTATCATAGTAAAAAAAACACATGCAACATCTACGGTACATCTATATTTGGGCTGTCCTCCGACGCCCAGATCCCTTTTATGCAGCTCCCAGCTCACGTGCTGATCCTACATTTGTTTTAAAAGTGTGTACCTCTGAACTAACTTTAGTCCTCAACAATTTATAGAGATTCTACAATTCACGACTATCTTATCCATCTCTTAAAATTCTGCCAATGCATAAGTCATCCCTAAACAGAGGTTGTCCTCCTTCTCCACGACGCTACATCCTTAACCTCCCTCACCTCTAAAGTTACAGAAACTCTCACAGACAAACAACTTCTCCATCAGCTCGAGTAACAACAGTTCGTCTGTGACATATACAATAGTTTGGGCTTAGTTCAGCCCGTTATACTGCCGAGGGCGGTGAGGTAATTTGTTTACTCAGCCAAATGCTCGATGCTCCCTCATAACCTGATGGTAATTAAATGGACCCTGAGTATAGATGAAGAGAATGAGAAAACAGAAAAAGAAGGGAGAGTTGGTAATAGAGAAAGGTATAAAGTGATCCACATTAGTAAACAACAAGAGGTTATTATCTTAGTGGGGGTGAGGGGGGCGCGGCGAGGGGGAGCAACCCAATGATTAAAGACTCAAAGATCAAAAGTACAACAAGGTCTCAATTTCCATATCAGAATAATATCTCCAGTATTATTTCTGGCCTCTCTCTTCCCACTCAGCCCCCGTGTACTACAGATTTTCTTTCCTCCGCCGTTAATTCTGGTGACTTATGGCATCATTTATCATTCTAGACAACAAAAAATCCTCCATCAAAAACTGACAACAAATTCAGATGGCCAAAATGTCCTGTATATGACACATATTCATAGTTCTCATCATCTCTTGCGTACAATCTTTATTACACAACCACCCAAACTTGTGAAATTCGATTAGTCATAGTATAATCACTTCTTTATTAATTTACAGTGCTACGGACCCTGGTATAATCCTTATTCTTTACCTTTACATAACTAAGACATATCGATACCCAGAAACCATTCAAAATTATATGTAGACGACACCAGCCTACCTGAACATACTTCTACTGTCACCACTTATGTTCTCATCTTACTGCCATTGTCACTGTCACCTCTTATCTCATAATCTCACTGTCATTATCACCGTCACCATCTTATCTCCCCATCTCACTCATTATCACTGTCACCATCTCTCTAAACCAACACAATGTTTAACCACGACTTTCCCTCACCATTACTTATATTTCAATTTCACATCAACTACTTGTACGATATTTTTAACGAAAGATTAGCGAAATGATTACGTATAATACATTACTCACTATCTTAAGAGAAAAGTGAATGCATCACTTGACTCTACCATGTGGTTTTGTCCTTATGTTTTTATTATGACAAGTCAACAGGCGTTAGAATTGTGACTTCGACTTGGTAGATGACCAATGATGACTCCTGGGTTGTGTCAGCTGGATGATACATATCCCCTTCCCCTATCTACTCTGCTCTCTGGGTTGAGTGAAGTGGATGATCCCCCTCCCTTTATCCTCTACTGCCTGAGCTATGTGAGGTGGTGGATGACTTGCCTATTCTCTGTTCCCTTGGTTGATTGATGTGGATGAACCCTTCTCCTCAGTTCCTTAGTTGAGTAAGGTGGATAACTTCTCCCCCTCCCTTGCCCTCTGTTCCCTAGGTTAAGTGAAGTGGATGACCCCTTCCACCTCTTGCCCCATGGGTTGATTAAGGTGGATATCCCCCCTTGCCCTCTGTTCCATGGGTTCTGTGAGGTGAATGACCCGCCTACATCAGCCCAAGGCAATACAACTCCAAAGCGCCGTCCATTAGTGAAGCCTGTTATACCAGACACACAAAAACTCCAGGCAGAGAAAAGAACAGTGAGGGAGAGGGAATGATGGAGAGAAGAAGGGAGGGAAGGGTGAGAAAGAGGGAGGCTAATGAAGGAAGGAGGTAAGAGTGTAAATGAGGAAGGAAAGAGAGAAAATGAGCCAGAGGGAGGAGAAAGAGAAGAGAAATGGGGTGGAAGGGAAGAGACAGAGGGAGGAGGGGAGGAATAAAAATGAGAGAGTGATATGAGAGAAGGAGGGAAGAAATAAAGATAATGAGGTGTAAAAATAAGGAAGAAGGGAGGGTAGGGGTAGTTGAGAGAAGGAGGGAAGATAGGAAGAAGGGAGGGTAGGGGTAGTTGAGAGAAGGAGGGAAGATAGGAAAAAGGGGAGGGTAGGGGTAGCCGAGGGAAGGAAGGAGGGTAAAAGTAGTGAAGGGAAGGTAGTTTAGCAAAGGTAACTCACTCCAAAAAGAATCTTCAAAGTAGGATCCGATGAATTTCAAAATAAACACAGCGACTCCTGTTGTCTCGGTAGGGTTGTCAAATTACTTCGGTCGGTTATGTATAAAAGAAAATCCCTGCACTTTAAGGTCATCTTATGTAGCTGCCTCCGTGTAGAATTTATATTATTTGTACTTCCCAATTATGTAAATGTACACTTGCACTGAATAGCTTGAGAAAAGTGAGCAATGGGAAGAGGTCTTTAGTTCCAGTGTTTGTTGTCATTACCGAGGCCTTCTCCAGGTCGGGAGCCAGTGTTCAACAGGCAATAAGTGAAGGTAATATAGAGACGCACACAACACTAACACCGTAAGGATACAGCGGCAATATCGGGCAACTCATAGTGTAAAACAGCAGAGACACAGCAACAACAGGCATGCCACAGCGTCACGCAGCAGACACACCACAGAAGCAGAACAGTCCACCGAAACAGAGATACATCAGCAGCATCACACAGGAAAGACACACAGCTGGCTTATGTAACTACTCGGGAGATGTAGTCGTCAGTTTCCAGAGTGAAGGACCAACTCATGTCAAAGTTTACGGTGTTACTCGTCTTAACGACATAATCACCATGTTAGTAATTTATATTTTGAGAAGACGTCATAGAGCCAAACCAATCACAGTGTACTATAAACCACGGATTTGGTTAGATTAAGTTAGGATATGTTTGGGTAGGGTTAGGTTAAGTTAGGTTATTATGGGTAAGTTAGGTTAGGTTATTATGGGGAGGTTAGGTAGCTCAAGCGAGGGGTAGGTTATGTTAGGTAGAGGTTAGAATCCGGGTTAGGGTTAAGTATATCCTGAAATTATTCGTAAATGTAAAATCCATCAAACCTTAAAATATATTAAACTCTCTCTCTCTCTCTCTCTCTCTCTCTCTCTCTCTCTCTCTCTCTCTCTCAACACAGAACCTCAACCCACAATCTCACGAGTTTTGAGGAAGGATAAAGACTTCAAAAGCAAATTGTATTTTTACAGAAAGCCATGCATAGTCTATGGGATTAATGATAAAATTTACACGACATAACGGCTCTAATACCTTACTTCACTGCTTTTGTGGTGAGCTCAGACAGGGCGGAGCAAAGTCTTTGTTGCTTTCCCCAAACCGTGAGCCAGCGCCCTCATAGATTACCAGGGCAATTTTCCGCCCAACTGGTGATGTGGAAATGCGTCTGACTAACCGAGCACAGAGAATATGTTGAATGGGTTCGAAATTACACTAAGACTCTAACTTAACTTGACGCGTGTTGTTATCCCAAGTTACGGGAAAAACTTAACGCACAAACTTTTGAGAATCGGTTTCTGGGTGTCTTCCCATCTCCAGTTGAACAATTAACTGGAAAAATCTTTAGGGAAATACAAATGGGAGGATTCATGAGGACGGGATCCGTGACCCGACAAACATACACTTCGAGTACGGGTAACTTATGAAATAAATAATAAATAAACATAAATTGATAAAAATACGAACAAATCATTACAAACTTAATTAAATACAATTACGTATCCGAAAAAAATTACATAATTTAACAAATAAAAAATAAATCGACCAATTAACAATAAATTGGAAAACGCTGTGGATATTTAGGGTCCCCTTTAAAACATGTCACATATTAACGTTTTCTCTTTTATCTCCTTCAGCACTGAAAGCGGCGCTGCTGATCCAGCGGTGGTACAGGCGATACTGCGCCAGGCTGGAAATCCGTCGACGGTACACGTGGACCATCTTCCAGTCCATCGAGTACGCCGGTGAACAGGACCAGATGAAGGTCAGCCTATATCCGTCGCTACATACGGCAGTTGTCTTAGATCTGTAGGAACTTATTTGGAGATGTTTTTCCTTAACTGTAAAGTAGTGGATATTTTGCCGTGAACCAATACATGGAGATGCCGGCCGGAAAAAAAATCGCACATTTACGAAATTTGTCCAGGTATTGGTAAAAGTTTCAGAGTCTCTAGTACGTGTCTGGCACGGAGCACCGTTGAAAGGGATAAGCAGCTAGACAGCTTCTACTAGCTTGAATACTAGCCTACAGTAGGTATACACTTTTCACTGCTATGTACTGTGCGAGCAGTACTTTCACACTGATTGACTAAGACTTTCCCTTCCGCAGCTCTACAATTTCTTCAACGCTCTCCTCACTCACATGGGCAACGGCGCCATGACCGAGATAATTGAGGCCCTCTCCCCCCGCGCCTCCCCTACCACTGGTAAGTGTCTCCTGTCTTCCCCACCATCGGTAAGTGCCTACTTCCCATACCACCATCAGTAAATGCCTACTTCCTACCCAACCACAGAAAAGTACCTAGTTCCTCTTCCTTACAGCCCTGCCATGTTCTTATAGTTGTGTGTCATCCGTAACAGAATGCACAGTATTGCAGCTCAAGGTGTCAACAAGGAGGCAGTGGCAGACGAGGGCACAGAGTGATACCTCTTGTCAACACATCCTCCCGACTATTTACATTACATCCACTACACACATCTACACTGCACCCGCGAGAAAGAGGAGAGAGAAACATAGTAATTTAAGTCTGTTCCTCCAGATGAAGAGGACGACGAGGCGAGGAGTAAGAAGCTACTGGAGGAGGCGTGGATGGAGGAGGTCGCAGTGGAGGGGAATTACAAGGGTCCCCACCTGACCACGCCCCTCACCACCGACTCCATTCACCAGCTGGTCGAGGCTTTCAAGAAGAAGAAGGTCAGTAACAAGATGGCGAAAGAAAGTTATAGTTTTCCTTCAGTAATGGCGAGAAGGGGGTGACGCCATATTGTGAGATGTTCTACGATTTTTTACTTGATTTAATCGTAGACAATGAAAGCAAACCAGATATCGAACAGTTGGGTTGGATTAAATTTGTTTGGGTTTGCTTCTTCTGTTATTAGAAATTATTTAATTCTGTAGTCTTAGCATATTGTAAGCAAACGAGACCAAACGCGTTTCTTTTGTTCTTTTCCTTTCTAACATCGGATGTACATTCTGCTACCATAGAAATGAAATTACACGCAAAAATATCATCAAATTATTTCAGATAAATAAGATGACGTCTTATTTTTCATTTACTTTTGTCCATTAATTGTAGAGACCTACAAGGAGGAGGTCAGTTTTCTTGTCTCACTGTCTCTTACTTTCAAAGCATCGTCGTCTCCGAGTCTCGTTACTCCTTAATCTTGTAGCTATACTTTCCACACACTTCCATAGTACAGTAACACAGTCTAGCAGTCACAAGAATTTCGAAGCTTCAACCTGACAAGCAGACCATTTTACGGTGACATATGGATACTCAGATCAGTTTATAATCAAAACTACATGACATACCTTCACACTCAATCAGTCAGAGTACCGTCCTGTCCCAGGGCATAATGATTTCCTCACTTCCAAGAAGACGTTCAAGACTCCATTCCCCAGCGACACAGATGCACTGAAAAACAAGAAAATTAAAATTAATACAGTATACAACAGCAAACAAATAAGCAAAGGACATCATTAATACAGCATGAGAATTACTGTCACTTCTGATAGGAGATCTCTCGTCAGTTTCATTTGAATATGTTCTGTGACCTTGTTTTATAAGAGATTATGTAAACAAGTGTTCTCAACAAGGCCTTTAAGGGTCCCGAAAGTTGCAATTTTATTATCCTCCCCTCAATTAATCCTTCACCCCCCCCCCCCACTCCTCTACAGGCATGTTGCCCCTTACCCCTCCCCCTACTTTAATTCGTAAAAGAATGTGTGCTAAAAGAAAATCTTGGTTGAATGGTTCCCTCCACAGAACCAGAAGGACTATACATGCTGTGGACATTAAATGCCCATTAACCAAACATTACATATGCTTTGCATACATTAACCTTCTCCATCTTCTCGCTACAGGCACTTCACGCCCGCTATGTGTATATGGTGTTACGGGAGGGAGTGCGAGTATTGCGGCAACGACCCACTATCACCCACGCTTCCACTGCCATCTCCGGCCAGATCACCGTGGTGGGCGACCTGCACGGCAAGCTAGACGACCTCCTCACAGTCCTCTATAAGGTTAGTTGACTCCTGTATATGATCAGCGGCCTTCTTCATAAGGTGAAAGTTGCATGTTAGTCTTTCTGGGTTTACCGATGATGACCAATGTAGAACGATCTACTGTTTACAGTCAGTCACTTATCATGAACTTAACCTTTGCAACACGGTTTTCTCACAAGTCGTCCGTGACCATGAGACTAACCCTCACAGAATGGGCTGCCCTCAACGGACAACCCGTATGTATTCAACGGGGACTTCGTGGACCGCGGCCGCAAGTCCATGGAGGTGATGCTCCTGTTGCTGGCGCTGGTGATAGTCTTCCCTGCCGAGGTCTACCTCAACCGCGGCAACCATGAGGACCTGGTTATGAACGCAAGGTGGGTCATGATGTTAGCTGGAGTCATGCTGTTAGCTACAATTATGCTGTTTATAGTGTCCCTTTGCCTGCTGTACCTTCAGCTAGATAGATCATGCAGTCTACTGGATTTTACATCAAGTCTGATCCTTCTATTTCGGTGGACATACAGTGAGACGTAGCTGCTCCCGAGTTAGAATGGTTAGCATTCTCACATTGCCGTCCAGAAGTCCTAAAGTCCATTCTTAACCTCCTTCGCTCGTTTTGCCTCTATCCAAACAGCAAGAACTGTAAACCCGGACGAAATGAGATGGCAGGATACCAGGGGTGACAAAGATGTCCAGCTTTCCTAGGTAACATACAGTAGCTGAGCAATTACGGGTTTGGGTAGGGGTTATGTTGGCAGCAAGCTTAAGAAAATACGCTGTTTATGTGGCTTCACGTATCACTGTTATCATGCGTAGGACTAAACAACACTAATGTACTACGTGAGTCTTAGAGGCGGGCACAGAGGGTGACATCAGCCCTGTCCAGCCCTCCTCCTCCCCACTGATAGTAATTATCAAGAAAATTGTATTGGGAAGACGCCAGCTCCTTGATCCTACCAATATATATGTTAAGTAAGTTGACTGATGAAGAGGAGTCCTGTCATTTTAATACTGAACCCCAGCCTAACCTAAGCTACCCACTGGCTTGGGAATCCATAGATTTTCAGTACACAAAAGACAACATTCTATGAGCCGGGTTCTTAATGGGTCATAACTCATTCTTCTGCCTGAAGAGGTTACGAGGCACCTAACTCAAACTGCGGAATAAACATGTTGGAGAAAATGAGCCGTCGACTTCGTACGAACACTACACCAACTAGACGTGTTTTCTTACCCCAATATGTGATTAAATTTTAAAATAAGAAAGTTTGAGAATCGAGGCCCTTAAATATTATGATCTTGTGAACAGGCCTATAAGAGAAAACATAGAAGCACAAGACAATAACTAGGAATAACCTCAAGACGGACTAATAATTTACAGCACAGTTTAAAGAAACTAAATTTCGTGTATATACACTAACTCTAACACAACATTACGCTGTATTATCTCAGTACAGCAACACGACAATCCATTGCCACATCAAGTTACACAGATGTGGGAGACCATGACGTGTTCACTGTCTACTATCACTCAATGACTGGATCGTGTCCGCCTGACACATTATGAGTGGCTATGACTTCGCTGGCTGTGGTGACCACACACGATAACTCTAACGTGTCAGGTAAAATAAGAACAGCATGTAAGAAAAAACTATATAAAGGAAAATAAGCGCCACGTGAAGTAGGTACTGTTAAGTACTGGGTGAAATAAGAATCGCGTACATTAAGTACTGTTTTTTTTCTATACGTATGCACAGTGTCTTAGAGAATAATTGTATATTAAAAAATATTTGTTTGTAATTTTCACTGAACACCCGAATCTTCTAACCAAAAATTCAATAAACCACAAAAATGTGATACGGTAAAGAGCCAAAATATGACAGAAAATAATCGATATAATGCTTTCATTACATCTGTATAACCGTTTGCCATAGTTGTACAAAACCTAAGATTGTTGCTGCCTGACCCTCTCACTACATTTTGTAAACATATCACTGTATTTGCATCCTACTTATAGCGCATTGTAGCTGTATAACCCCCCCCTTCGCTAACGTCACTGAGTCTTGCTGTCCTTTCTCCAGGTACGGCTTCTGCAAGGAGGTCAGCCGCAAGTACAAGGTGAGTATAATGTTTCGGAAAGTCAGTATAATTTTGATAAAGGTGAGTCAGTCTATCGGGATGTTTAGATGCATCGCTAAAAGGCCAGGCGAACGGACATACACTCGTTCACTAGTTGGGTGATGAGGTACATTGGCAATGGGGCTCACACACCAGCGCCTCAACACAGACAAAACACACGAGCACAGGTATGAAATATGATTCAAAACAATGACATGATATGGTATGTTGGTCGGGCTATATTATAACAACACAAAGCATACTGTATGTCCATTCACCTGGCCATTTCCCAACTTGGCTTCGCATTCCCTCCAGCTAGGGTGTGCATAGAAATTTGGATTGTGCCTGTACATCACATATTTTCACATTCACTATGAAATACAAAATATAAGTTTTTACAGAGATTCGGAAAAAAATTACATAAAAATAACTTCGTTGTGTGGTTTACGTTATGTTGGCTTCCTGTTACCACCTTCCTTCCGGCAACCTCTTCCCTTCCTCCATGATAATGATGTTGTAACCTCCTCCCTCCCTCTCTTTCTCTCTCCCCCTCCCTCACTCCCTCTCTCTCTCTCTCCCTTCAGCCCTCTCTCTCTCTCCCTCCAGCCCTCTCTCTCACTAACGTCCCATCTATCTCTTTGATCATCACACTATGATCAAATCTCCTCTACTTCACTAACGTTAAAGTTCTCACGACCCTGGCACTCTTCTCCTCGCCAGGCGCCCCATGGACCGAGAATCCTGCGGCTGCTGGAGGAGGTGTACCGGTGGCTGCCGCTGGTCACCGTCATCGACCACAAGGTGATGGTGGTGCACGGCGGCATCTCCCTCGACACAGACCTTAAGTGGATCGCCACCATCGACAGGAGCAAGGTGCCCTCCTATTGCTGTCTTCTTTACCTATTTATGATTATTTCAACGTTTGAAAGAAATGTTGCTTCAAGCTGGACAATTTACTTATTCAGAGCACCCGTATGCTAAATAAGTCAGGATTGGTGGGATTTGGGGCGTCAGCAAGAGATTTAGGGTGACAGTAAGAGCTTAACATTGCATTTAGGACACCGGTAAAATAATGCATGTGAACTTGAGAGAGCAAAAGGTCATGTGTGACTTCATATTATGTACACAAATACTGCAGTACATGATTAAATGTGCTCTACAGTACATGCTCCAGTGTGCACTACAGTACATGCTTCCGTATGCCCTGTAGTACATGAGCGTGTTAAGGACCCCGGCAGCCAACCTACTAGACGACACGTCGTCGACGGAGGACGGCGGGGACGACGAGCCTGACGCCTGCAAGGAGGTCCGTCTCCTCACCTCCACCTACGAGTGGAAGCAGGTCAGGGCAAGTCTTCACCTCCTACTGAAATTTTACGTGTTGACATTTACGTGCTGATCTTTCTACATACCTACGTTTCACGTGCTGAGATACCACGTGTTGACCTTTCTCGTTCAGAAATGTTTCGTGCTGAAATTTCATGATACGTTTAATCCTCAATTTCCCTCCCTCCCTTCGTCTTGTAGGTGCTGGACCTTCTATGGAGTGACCCCCAGACACACGCTGGCTGCCGACCTAACTCCTTCAGGGGTGGCGGCAGCTACTTCGGCCCGGACATCACCTGCGACTTCCTTAGGAAACATGGCCTCTCTCTCCTTATCCGATCCCATGAGTGTAAAGTGGACGGCTACGAGTTTACCCACGACAATACAGTCAGTAGTGATTTACCCATAAGAATACGATCAGTAGTAAATTACTCACGCTAATGCAGTCAGAAGTTTACTCATGAGAAGAAGGTGAAGAGTATTTTACCCATGAATACAGTCAGCAGTAAAAGTTTAACTCACGTAAATAACCCTGCCTGTAGTGTCCATCTTAATTAAGGAATCAAGTATTATTTCCTTCCAGTGACAAGAATCATCCCCATTAAGTGACCTTCTTGACGCCATCTCGTTGAAGTGACTAGAAATTGTTTCCCTGTAGTAAATAAGAAACTTTCTCAGTAGTAATATAAAATAATTTCTTGTAGTGATTATCTACTTCCCTACAGTGCCTGACCATCTTCTCGGCGTCCAACTACTACGAGTCGGGTAGTAACAGAGGCGCCTACGTCAAGCTACAAGGACCCAGCCTGGAGCCACACTTTATCCAGTACACCGCTGATATGAAGTGAGTACACACACACACACACACACACACACACACACACACACACACACTTTTTTTATCTGTGGCATGGACGCTATATGCACTCTTTTAAAACAAAAGATGGTGTGTGTGTGTCTGTGTTTCAGGATCATGGAAGAGTAGAACGTGTACTAACATAAGGTTTGTCGACAGATCACGAAAGCTGACCATCCGTGAGCATGTTGGGAGGATGGAGGCTTCAGCCTTCAGAGAACTACGTGGCCAAATCCTCGCCTCTAGGTCCAGACTCCTGGAGGCGTTCCAGCAGAAGGATTCAAACGACACAGGTGAGACTTAGGCTAGCGAAGGTATTCAAAGTAATAGACAAAGAGAACAAAAAAGAGATTGAGGCTTGCTAAAGTGTTCAGCAGTGAGAGGATAAATAAACCGAAGGCTCCTCGTGAAGTTCCAGCAGAAAAGCGATACAAAAGTGAAACACAAACTCCGATGAAGCGTCAACCAGGAGACGAGAATACACATGTAAGAGAAGCAGAAAATTTTTTATTAAGTCGAAGGGAACGAGTTACTTTCCAATGGGGTACACTATTTAAATAATATAAAACTCATAAACAAATTAACTGTGGAGTAAAATACATCTGCCGGCGATGGTATCATAAATGTTAGTCTAATTAACCTGCTACAACCACCTGTGTTCCATAGAATGAGTCATGCTGAGAACTAAATTAAACCTTCTGACTAGCTTTTGACATCTGACCTAATGAGTTAATTCCTTTATGTTTAATTATTGTCTGCGTACAGATATTTTCCTTCTCTCGTCCAGTTATACTACTAACGCTTCCCTCTTGCACAGGCTACATCAGCGTGGGGGACTGGGTGGAGGTGATGGAGAAAGAGAGCCATCTGAACCTGCCCTGGCGAGTACTGAGGGACAAACTGGTCTCTCATCATCCCACCACCGGCCAGGTCGACTACCACAGCTCCTTCAACGACGAGTTTGTCAAGAAGGACATAGCTGTTAAGGTGTGTGAACGCCTCAATCCTAATGCTTACGTTTGGTTAGGATGGGGCCTAATAATCCTAGGGTCTATTAGAACTAGATTATGAGTGACTGAGGTGAGGGCCCAAGTGTCTGCTCCAACGTGACAGCTAAACCTGGTTGTTACTAACGACACCACTTCTTTCTGGCACGACTTTTCATAAGAATTTGTTTAATTACTCTCAAAGCGTAAAATATTTTTTTTTTTACATAATTATGAAACCTGAAATGGTCACTTAAACCTTGAAACGTCTTTACCTGTACCAGTACTTATTTTCCTTCAGTTATTTTCTAACTCTGTGATAGCATCAAGCCAGGGGGAGGTGGACCTTATTAATCAGGTAATGTATTTACAGGGAGGACCAACTGTGGTGGAAGCGCTGTACCGCCACAAGAACAGTCTGGAGACCATATTCAGACTCATCGACAAAGACAACTCTGGTAAGCTTTAATTGTGCAGTCAGCGTTAGAATATTAAGTAATACATCTCTTTTAATAAGCAAGTATTATTCTATCATGTTTACTTCGCCCTAAAAGTGTCTAGTAGTTGATCAGTTGGTTAATAATTTCAAGCAGCATCACACAAGACGTGGACTTCGCTCTGTAAACATATTTGTGTTACAACGTCTCATTATCGTGGCGTGAATATAACTGTGTCTCGCCTTACAGGTTACATCAGCATGGAGGAGTTTAGTGAGACCTGCGAACTGTTGAGCCGTCACATCGATGTCCCCATTCCTAAGAACGATATAATCGACCTAGCTCGCTCCATCGACATCAACAAAGATGGCTACATCGACTTCAATGAATTTTTGGAGTGTTTCCGAATTGTGGAATCGACTCGCACAAATGCCGACGACGACGACAATGATGATGATGATGATGATGATGATGATGACGAGGACGACGACGACATCGAGGTTGATAGGAACCAGAATGGTGATGCCAAGTTGCCCATCATGGCTGGCAACACGATGCCCCACATAGTCAACCACAAGGACCTATAACACCTTAAAAGAGGAATATACAGTATTAATAAAATCAATAAACAATGCCGACCACAGAGCTAAAATTTTTCAGCACCGAACACTTCCATCGCAGGTTAGATGCGCAACACAATTAAATACTGTGTGATCTCCCGGGATCATTATAAATAGTCGTGCAACTCCTGCTGTTCCAGGAATTTAAGGGAGGGGTTCACGCTAAACAAGATTTTCCTCCGTCATATTTGCCAACATATCAATTGACTTAATATGTGACAGTAACAATTATTTATTATTTTCCATTATTCTTTGTTTAACTGTACAATTTATTGATCATGTTCTATTTACCAACTGAGGGGACCAGTCCTCTCGTTCGCCTCAGCCTCGCCACTTTCATCACCAACCCTATGGATCCTCAAAGGTACTCGTACATTTTTCTTTGTCCTAAATAACTGGAGGTGAGAGTACTGGTTTGTCGGAAACAGCAGCACAGAGCGAATAAGCAGAATTGTATGGAAAAAAAAAAAAAAAAAAAAAACAACCAGGGGCTCTATCTTCCCCCAGTTACCATCAAAAGCATCAAGTATGAATATTATGTGAGAATTCGGACTCGAACTCGAATCCTAACGTATATAAATCATGTCTATATGAAAGCTTTAATAACGTAGGGAGAGACACGAAATAAAAGTAACAATTTTATGTTAAAAGCCAAAATTAACTAAGTACAAACAGTTTGCCGCACCTCGTGTCAGGCGGCCTTCGCAACGATCACTGACCGAAGCCATGTTCATTCCGTAAGGTTGGTACTTCTGATTGTGTGATGCATTGTGCAACCAATACGATGAATGCTGTATACCACGTAAAGTTAATACAGATAATTAACAGAAATCACCCTAGTGAATGAGTGTTGTTCACAATTCTTGGGCCGGAGTATCATATTGTATAACACCGTAAAGATGCAGATCTATTTTAGTTGACTGTACGTTACTGAGCCAATGATAAGCCTTAGTTGTCAACAACACTGAACTGTTATCCAAGTATAGGCTAACCTGTAAATGGTGATGGTCCGCGCAGATATATTCACTGTCAAGTTCTGTACTGTATTTACTGTGACCCCCCCTACCCCTTCCCCTCCCCGAGCCCTGATGTAGTGGCCGCACCTGTACTGGAACAACTAGTGCGAAAACTACAGGTTCTTGTAAGTACTCGTTTTCACAGTGACCCGAGTCTTTGCGCTAAAGTGTACACAAGTCATGGAAGAAATAAATCGAACCTTAAATGTACAAATGAGTGTTCGTTCTCATGATGACCTGAGTGTATACCTGTAATGGAACAAGTACTGAGGATACTACAGATGGCAAATAGATGTCAGTCATCGTCCTCAGTGTCCACAGTCCAAGTATCCGACCAACACGTGTTGACAGGGTCGTGAGGTGTCAGTCTCTTGTTAATTCAATACCAAAGTTCTCGAGCAATTTGTACATATATATACGAATTCATGTCTGTACTGTTAGGGTGTATACTTGAGATTTAGCGAAGATATCCTTAAACACAACACACACACAGAGACACACACACACACACACACACACACTCAATATTTAGTCATATCACGCTTAAAGTGGGTAACTGCCAAAGTGATATAATTTCATTACATTCCTTTGCTTTCTTGAAAATCACAGCCGGTCTACATACAACATACTTTGCTGGGACGTTCTTGGAGATAATCATGTTCCAAACTATAAATGAATAGAACCATTACTAACCTAACTAACTTAAACTAACATAGTTCCACTAAGTTATAGCGACCAAACCAAACGTTTATTCCTACTTGACAAAAGCACAATTGCACTTAAGACTTAACGTGACGATTATCCTCATTTCACGTGACAAATACGTTTACGTTACCTGGAGTCTGTGTAACTAGAAGGTTCACTTAATCATAAAATGTTCAGGAGTTTCTCGCAATCGCTGCCACCGTCACCTGACCTAACCTATTAGCTAACAGTCGCAGCGATTACAACAAATTTCTGTTCATTTTAGGAATTACGTGAAATTCCCGAAAATTTTAGGAAATACGTGAAATCTCTTATAATATGTGCAGATTCCTTGTAACATATATAATAAGACTCACATACTCTTGATTACATGATTTCATTCAGGTATATATTAGAGAAGTTTCTTACCTAACCATTCATTTATTATCTGTACTGAAAAATTTTCACTTGTGTGTATATAACGGGAAACTGAGCTAGAATATATATTCAAAAACTTTGCAAGGCTATGTACTTGACTATGCGGATATGTGCAAACAGAATATGCACACAGGCAGTGTTTGTACCTAAAGTACAAGCAAAATGTATATACTGGTATAATTACTAGCACTGTCGCTTGTTCTATCATGTGCATGTGTCTTTTTTACTTAACTATAATTTGAGACACTGAAACCATCTGTACAATAATCTTAACTCCTGAGCTTGGCCCCAAGTTGTGTGTGTGTCTCATTACTTATATTTATCGTCATTTGGGTTCATATATAGGCTGTAACTATCAACCCGAGTCCGGCTGTCGTGTAGCTAGGGAGCCGGGTACGAGCAGGCCAGGTACGAAATTTTATGACAGCAAGAACGAATCAATTAAAGCTAAATGAACCAATGTAACATAACCTAACCCACTCTCTACGTTCCCCGCTGTTAGGTTGCGTATACTCGGCTCTCGAGAAAAATTAAAACAGTCGGGCCAAAATCGGCAGCTACTTCCTTACAGTATATACATTATAATAGACATTTTTGTTTATATTTATATGTGTAGTTAATCTTTCATATCTAATGTTTGTATTCATCCAGCAGTCATTCTTCTGCTTTGTGCTGTTTTTAATGACATTGTAATACTTGTGTAAATATGAATTATCTCAATAAAACTTTTCAAATTAATCGAATCATTATTAAATCTCCCACGCAATGATAAACGTAACCATAGCAATTACCCAGTTTGTTTATGTGGTGCGCGATGACGTCACACACGGTTCAGATCCCATCATAATGCACTATGATTTCCGCAGCATACATAGTTCACAACTGATTAAAGTTAGTTTTGTTGGAGGCTCGCTATATGACTCTAGTTTACCCAGAGCCGCAGAACCGTAGATAAGAGTTTGGCCAATCGGGTGCCACGTTATTCCTCACCGGGTAGGAAGTCTTCTCGGGCTCTCTCCCACATAGTTTATAAACATTATTATCCAATTATAAACATGTATGATAATTTTACTGAAGAAACAAAATCATCATCATCTACAGTACAAGCGCAAACTTCAACACTTGAGTAACAACATGGCGCCTGTTGGCTAAACCGATGACGAAAACATGTCTGGTGAGTCGAGTGCAGTCACGGACTCATAATGATGGTGACGCCTTGGTTGACATTTGTTTATTTTTTTATATAATATTCGTAAGGCTAAGATTTTCTGTAGCTAGGTATAACAAAATGAGTGTCTTATGTTCTCATGGACCTCCAAAAAAATAAGTGATATTGCAAAAAATAAAAAAAATATTACAAATTAGATCCGAGAGGGGGTGCCGGGCATTTCTCTATGACAAGGACGAAACAACTAAATTTTTAAGCTTATAACTCAGGTTTGTCTTATATTTGGGGCAATATTATTGTTTTCTTTTGTCAGACGTGGCAAATAATACTTAGGCGCGAAATAGGTAAACACTGGTTTGGAAATAGAGTAGTGGATGAGTGGAACAAATTACTAAATATCATCATTAACTCGAATACGCTGGATAGCTTCAAACATAGGTTGGGTGATTATATGAGCAATAGGGGTCGGGTGTAAATGGGACTGCCCAGTATGGGCCGATAGGCCCGCTGCAGTTTCCTCCATTCTTATGTTCTTATATGCATAATGCAATGTGGAAGGAGCGAAAAAAAAACACCTAATAGGTACAGTATTTGAAAATTAATGTAAAGATAAAGCTTATTTCCTAATTGTCCTACAGTATGGAACACAGCTGATAAACATATCAACATGCATAGTACACTGTATGTACCTGAAAATGTATTTTGTGGTACAAGGTGCAGAGTACAAGTGATTAAATATATTGAAGTATCTAGTAACAATCGCTTCTGGAAGTATCAGGTATCTTTTCACTTTGCTGAAACCTCAATAGATAGTGCCACTGTTCGACCACACATTTTACGCTGTGCTTAAGGCAGCCACTTTCCTATCTTTCGTCTGTTACACACCCAGGGCCCGGAACCGCTTGCTTACCTACAGATACAGATTTCGCCCGAATACTTCACTTGGGTTGGGGACAGTTTTGTTCGGGACTATACAACCCATTCGTAAGCAATCGTAGATTGGGGCTGGTCCTTTTCGTACTCAGGAAATAAACAGCTTCGTATACAGATTAAGGGTCGTTTCGTGCATAAGATTACACCACTTTTTCGTACTGTTAATTATTTTTAGTGCACTTTAGGCCTTGCTTGCCAACAGTGCGTAACAGATACGTGACTGATTGCCCAAGCGGCTAACGAGCCGATCAATGGTGAAGAGGATAAAAGTAAAGTAAAACTAAGATAATTATTGGGTTACAAAAGGGATGATAAGGGTACGAAACAAAAAACTGCCAGGGTCCCCAGTCCATAACATGAATACCTTACCTTACCTTGTATCATTGTCGTCATGGTCACGGAGAACATCAGTCTCTGCCCAGTAGTTAAAATCCTGAGATTATATGTAATTCCACTATCACCATAATAAAGTTTAAGCACACTTGAATCAGCCGTCATTTGTTTCCGAATCAACTTGTAAAAGTCATGTTTAATCAATTATGAATCGCAAAAAGCACTTAGAATAAACATACATTCACTCACATGTATGATTTCGTATGTATTGTTACGTTGTCTTCATGTCTAATTGTATATCTGAGTAAATTTCTCCAGTATTACATCACAAAAACACTGAAAATACACTCGTTTAGTTTTAACGTCACACTGATCACGTAAAATCTCACACTTCACAATGAAACACTAACACATACTGAGCGACATCTTATTCCTTCGGGAGCTTAAGCAGACTGGCGGCGACAAGAGACACAAGAGAGGTGTGTACGTGACACAACCTGGACACCGAGTAGTTTGCGGGTCAAATGGGTAGTTTGCTTGTTTACCATATTACGTAAATGGATTAAGCATCGTGTTAAACATAATTCAGTGGTATTTGGTTACTTTTATTAGAATTATACAAATTTTGGAAGATATATAATAATATTTGACAGAATATAGTGGTATTTAGTAGTTATGCAGAAGCATGTAATAGTACTGAAAGGTTTATAATAGTATGTGGTAAATTGTCAGCTGTGACACCATCGTTTTCTATTAATCGAAGTTAGTCTTTTCCTTATTGAGGTGGGAAACTCTTATAAATTGCATAACTAAAACTCCCTTGATTTACCTTGAATTTTACTATTCCTTTAAGGAACCTTGAAACTTCCTTTAAAGATTTTTATTCCGCATACGTTTTCGAGTTTCCTAAAGCAAGACGTATAATATCGCGTAATTTTTATGTATGTACGAATGTTGTAATTTTAAGATTTGAGGATACACACACACACACACACACACACACACACATGATTTACAGTTGATTATAATATTAACCGGTTAATGCAAACACGCACAAATTCTATAAATTGTACAGAGTTCACTCTTCCGTTATTATTTTGAAACAACAGTTCGAGAATATTGTGACTAACGAGAGAACACAACTACAAGCTCGCCAAGTTATCATGCAGAGTGAAATGTTATGACCCTCTTTTCCGCCGCTTACCCAGCTTCCACTGCTGGTTACCAGCGGCCAGATCGTATATACAGAAGCAGTAGATATATCACAAGTGCCGTCGAATTTCCACTGGCTCTCCGGCCAGTCTACGATAATTTCTCGACAGGCAGATAGATTTCCACCAGGTCACAGAAACACACTTGTGCACTGTAGTGCCCTTTAATTATCACTAATTCATCACAACACTATTCACAGGATCCGTCTTTACAACTGGGCTTCACATTTCGAATATATACAGTCAGCACACTACCAGACTGGTAGTACCAGTGTACAATTCCTAAGTCTTTTCACTTTATAACGCTCACAACAATTCCACAATACTTGCACAACAAATAATTTTAGCTGTCACTATTAGGCTTGTACTTCACACTCAGAGCACAAACGGTTGACTGACCTCCTAGGCTGCTCGTCAGACGCTTAGAGCATTCTAGCAACATCCAGGTAGGAACGAGATATGACTGCAGAGTTCTAGAATGATCTAGGTTTACAATACATTGGTAAATCATAACAAAAGTGATGCAATACATTCTAGAAAATTATTATGCCAGTAATATATCGATATATAAAAGAAAATCTCCTAAGACTTGCCAAAATAACTGCTACTTGGAACAGAAAAAATCAGAACACCCAGTTCACAAAAATTACAATACCAAATTATGCCTCGGCATAACACTAAGATTTTTTCAAGCAGCCCAAGCTTCGGAAATAAGAACAGTAATGGGCTTCAAAATACACCTTGACAAAATTGAGTGTGTAAGGCCTTAAAGATCAGCCTCGTGACACCTTAAATATGTTAAAAATTCAAGTGTTGGAAAGATACAACTATCTTTCTAATACACCTGAAAGTTTGTACATGTTCAAATCTGACTTCAGTCCATACTTGTTACGCCATATTTTTTTTTAAATTTGGACTTCCATGGGAGTCCACGTGTCGAACTACATAATGCACTAGTTATCAATTCTGAAAACTCCTTGAAACTCTCCAGATTATTTTTATGCTCTGACTTTTTCTAACTTTACAGTTGGAGAAGGGAATTGGTCGCGTACAGTGCCGGCCACACTGACTCTTTGTGAACCTGAAAAAGACTTCGTCTGCAGTGTGCTGTGCCCGCTTTCGTTCGTGTGTTGAGCCAACCCATTTTTTTTTAGAATTGTGTACGTACAGTACACTGCAGTAGATTTTGATAAAATGCTTTTCTGAGTCTAGACTTTAATTCCTGGTGGTGACCCACAGAGTCCATAGCGGAGGGGACCCCACCGCATCCATTCACCCAGCACGAGCCTGGAGGTGCCTGATGTTGCACCAGCTGGGACGACTTTCCTCGCTGGTCTGTGACCTGTAGGTACAGTAATTAACGGACAATGATTATGTGTCTTTTATTTATAAATAAATCCTCTTCTTGAACTGGTCAGCAACATTTTTTTTCAACATAGAAGTACACAAGAAATTGAAAAAGATATGTTTAATTCTTTACAAGCTTGTAGGGGTATCGAGATATTAATGTTGTCTAGCACTCAGGATGGAAGGAAACTCTAATGTGGTTTTCTTGTATAATATAAGTTATATGATAGACAGTCTGGTGCTGGAGGTGCCGTGTGGTGAGGAGCTGCTCAGTAGAGACGTTCGGTGAGTAGCGTGTTGAAGGAGGTAGATGTGCAGGAGCTTCGTTAGAGAAGATGTTGCCTGTTGCTGGCCTCCTGGTTGAATGAATGCTGACAGCGTGGAGCTTGCTGGAGGAGGTGTTGCTTGTTCAGGAAGATGGGCAGAATGAGAGTTGGTTGGTGAGGAAGCTCAGAGAAGGACAGCTGGTGGGTCGCCATGCTCGCTGGCGGGAGCGAGGGCCACCAGGCAGGCGAGGAGAAGTGAAGGCAGCCAGGCAACGGCGGAGGAGGAGGTGTTACTTGTTCGAGAAGAATGGTCAGAATGAATCTCAATGGAGAGACAGAGCTTATATACCCAGCAGCCGCTATGAGTCATGTTGGGAAAACCCGAGAAGTCGCAGGTGACTAGTTTCGTTGCTAAGTTACGGTAACATCTGGTTGGTTGCTAGGGAAGGCGGTAGCAGGTGGTGGCTGTGGCTACGCAGTTGTAGGGGAGACGTCCACTACAAGCTTCTCGCATATAAACAAACCTCATGTCACAAATAAAAACACAGTTGGTTCGACAAGCTAATGGTAGTGTTTTGATGGACAAAAAAATATAACAAGAAATAATATGAAATAACCATTAGGTAGAACTGATAAAGGTTCAGAGAACTTTTTAAGTTTAATGTTACTAAGCATTTCCTATTTTCTATTTCTCTCTTCAGTCCATCTCGTATTCTGTCAAACTTAAGGCATCGTGCAGCGGTAAAAGTTCACACACTAACTGACTGTTTCTCCATCAAGATTACATTTTCGTCACGACACTTTCTTCAGCAGTTCAATAACTAAAGGATTACAATTTTACAAGGCGATGATAAGTATCATTGACATCTCACTGAAGACCTGCAAAATTTTCTTTGCACTAATTATATTGATCTCAAAACAAGTAAATTTTTAAGAAAAAAAATTGGTTGACTTGTTCTTAAATTCCTTCTTTTTTTCTCTCATCAGAAAGAAGACAATTTAAGAGAATTTCCTTTTCTAATATTCTTGTTCCATTTTCTTCTAAGAAAGTCCGTATAATACTATAAACACGTCAGCACTACGGACACTCTGCGGCCTCATTGCCCTTTGGTACACCAACACACTGACACTGTATATGAAAGCAAACGCCCACTTCCGCCAGCCATGCCCTTCCGCTGTAGTATCGGCCTGAGACTGACCAAGCAGCGCAGCCTCTATCTGAACTTCTAAAAGTCTTGAATGTGCTATAGAAAAATAATTATTTCTCTCGTTTTACCAAAAAAATTCTCTTAGTCTCTCGAAACCTTTTATTCTTAACAAAAGTCAAGGAACTAATGTCTGTCCTTCCTTACAATAGAGTACACTGTTTCAGTCACACTAGCGATGGTGAATGAATCTTTCTCACTCCTCCCATCAATAAAGTGGCATTCCCGTATAAATAACAATTATGGCAGACTCACTCACTCACACACAGATAATTTGTTAAAGGTTTGTTAGTACTGAAACGATTTATTACCAAAAAATCTTAGTCATCCATTTTTCATATCATCCCACACTTCCTTGAATATAATACCAGCTCGACTACACTGCTCGCTTGTAAAGTGTGCCACCCAGTTCTGTGAGCATCACCCATCACTCTCTCATAACATTAACTTCTCGTCAGGGTAAAATTTTCCCCCTGTACACACACACACATATGCTAGTCATCTTTGAAGTTTATTAGTAGTTGCTACGAACAACTGTTTTTCCATCTGTAAAGTGAAAATGATCACTAGCTACTCTACTAAACAGCTACGGAGGAGAGAGAGAAGATTCTTACTGACTAGTACATTTAGTAATCCTCCCAGGTAGTGTTTTCCTGAGTGGCATGTGTTGAGGTTCTGTCCGCCATCCCGTATTTCTCCAACACCTGAGGGATAGTAACATTACAGCCAGAAATTAAAGGAAAAATTATAGAAAATATTATGGAAAAAATCATGACAAGAAATGTGAGAGTAAAATTAAATATTAAAGAACACCATTACTCGAAATATCCTTAACACATGAAGGGAATTATTTTGTGAGTCAGTGAAAAGTAGGAAAGGTTCCTGAGGTGCACAACTAACTTTTCCTTTCCTCGTGTTTGATATATTTAAGAAATGTGGAAACATTAATAAAAGGAACATTGACCCCACCCCCCACTCAAAAAAAGGCCCGTTTTTTAAAACACGCAACAATAGTGAGCTTAAAAGGCGTCAAATTGTACGTGTACGTGTACGTGTACGTGTGTGTGTGTGTGTGTGTGTGTGTGTGTTGGAAAATCATGCCTGTTTTGTAGACGTGTTAATACTTGCTACACTTGTGCTTGTGAGTGTATTTCCAAATGTAATAATACTAGCACTCGTGAATGTACAGCACATACGTGTTTGAGTAGTGTGCATGCACGTCAATGTGTATTAAAGCACACATATACAGTACTATCTATAGAGTCTGTGTATATACAGGGATATATCTATAAACCACCATGACCATCAAGTTACCCACCTCCTTCGGGATGCTGGAGGTATCCGGGGGTAGGCGCGGAAGGGGGCCTTGGAAGTGTGACAGGTGCACCTGGTATATTAGATAGTAGAACACGTACATCATGCTCGGCTTGACGTAGTGGAAAGACACCACCCTCTCAGAGCAGCACATGGGACCCTGCAAGTGTGTTGACACGAATTAGTTCCTGTGTGAGTGTGTGTGTGTGTGTGTGATTTTGTTGGGCTTGCAAATATTTTTTTGGGGCATCTCTGACTGTCTTCTCATGCCACCACCCTTAGATTCTCCACCACTCACTCCTTCTCCCTCCTCTTCCTTCACCTCCTCCTCTTTCATATTACCCTCGAGCCTCATTACCATGATTAAGTAAATCAGAATAACTTGTCACAAGGCTCTTTCAGCATGAATGTGTATAATTTTACACTTATAAGTATCGTGAATGTCTGTTATGAAGCTTAGTCTTGTAGTTATGAAAGTTGAAAATAAAAATCATTATACTTGTGGGTGGTAATATTACTGGTAGGGAATTTAGCCCACGGACTATAAGATTTATACTTAACTCACGTATATCTTTGTTAGATATAAGGGACTTAGCAAACTCAAGTTAGTATTATCAGAAGCTAAATCTAATAAATTACAGTAAATTCTTCCTCCTTTTAAGAAACCACAGCCACAAGACAAGGCCCGAGTCAGACAATCCAAGCAACTATTATCCCAAAACAACAGAATTATGCTGGATACATGACTGTTAGGTGTGCTGGCTGAGAACATTTAATAAACTTCACGTAAACCAAGAGTAGGAAATGATCACCTCTTTCATGGGATAATAGACAATGTTCCAGAACCAGCCATGTTTGTTTGCAGTGGCCCAACCTGGAAGGAGCAGTTCAGGAGTAAGACAGAGGAACCTTTCCCTGCCCAGGTGGTCCCGTGAGTCGCCAAACATTACACCCACTGCCTGCATGCATCTTCCTGGATAATGAACGAGGAAGAGGTCAAATATAGTGATTTGAGAGAACATAGGAATTATTATGTTATTAAACGACCCTAAACAGCATCAGTGACTGAGGTTTTCACTACATCTATTTTTGTACAGATAATTCTGATTAAATTGTCTGATTCTAAAAACATTGCTTTAATGACAGCAGTAATATCACTACAGGGAAATCGGGTAAACTGCCTTTACTTTATTGACTATTTGTGACTAAATCCGAGAACAGATATCACGTTGACTCACCAAGCTCGACATCTTCTCTGCCTTTGTTTTCAGCCTTACATATTGTGGAGTTAGTGAAGCCCTTCTCCACCACTAACTTGAGCGCTGCTCGGCTTAGTACGTACCCAGCACCTGGAAAAATAACATCTTTGTGTTGTTTGTTTCCAGACTCTCTTTCCTATTTGTTTAATTCAGATTTTCAGATTTGCCCCCGAGGGGGCTAGTTTATCGGGCACCCCCTTACATCCTGTGCAAGGTGAAGCGCAGAAGCGTTTACAGCACCCAACAGGGAAGTATGAAAAGTTCATACTTGCCTTTATGACTCGTACATTAACGGCGTAAAAGCCTGAAGGGTCATAGGTTCTGTCAAGTTACATAAAGTGAGAGAATGATGAGTGTGTGGGGGGAAAGTTCCCGGTACATTTTATCTGTTTATGGCAAAGAGTGGCAGGTCCCTAATAATGTCAAATGCCGGCCTGTGACTAGGAGGAGGGATATCTGGTCTGGGAGGGAAGAGGTGTTGGTAACGGCTGGGGACCTATAGGAGGAGGTCATAGGGCAAGTGAGGATGTAGTGAGAGAGGGTGTGAGAGTCGGGTTGGCCACAAAGTTTACAAACAGTGCGGTGAGGCTCAGGGTTGCCAATGTACTCCCAAAGGTACCTGTACCCTAGGCGCAGTCTCATGTATATAAGCTGTTGAGATCGAGTCAGGGATTGATATTCTTTGTAGTGGCGGTTGTCGTCACCGGTTACAGCGTCATAGTGGCATAGTGTGACGCTACCCCGTTGTTTCAGGTGTGTCTATTTGTTTAATTGATTTCTCATTTACTTTTTTCCTTCTGTGTTATCTACCTGTCCTCTGAACCCTGTCCTTCTTCTCACTTATTCTTTATTATCCTGTTTTTCTCAGTCGATTTCTCTCTCTCTGTTCACTACTTTCTCTCTCTCATCTTATTTCCCCGTCCTTCACTGCCATTTGTCCATTTGTCTCTCTTCTACAATACTTCTTCTCCCATTTGTTCTCACTCTCTGTTGCACCTCTCATTATCTACACATAGTCACACATCCTCTTGCTCACTCTCACTACCTGTGTCATCCTGTTCCTTGCATATTGATTCACATCTCTGCTCTTAACTCAGCCACACTCTCCCCTGCCCATCATAACCCGTCAGCTCTTACCTCCACTCATGAACACCTGGGAGTTGTCCTTCGCCCTCAGCTTAGCACCGAAATAAATTGGAAAATCTGGATCATACAATTTCAGCATATGCTTCAGGTTTTCCACGATCGCGAAGCTGAAACACAAGACACCGGTTAACATGATAGACTCCTGGTATCCAGCATGGAATCGTCTCTTAGCCGGGATAGGGGACGGGGATTGGAAGAAAGTGCAAAAAAAAAAATTGCTACGGCTGTACTTGTGTCATTTCTCCTTAGATTCAAGCAACTTTTATTTTGTATTTACATAAAAAATGAAAGATGGTTTACAAAAATAACAAACATCATGCTAGAAAAGTGGTTGTTGGTAGCTTATAGCCTCAATATAAAAAAAACACTGTCGACACCACCACTGACAGCAATAGACCCATAAACACCCTTGATAAGTAGAAAATTAACCCTCCCACCCACTTATTCCTTCCTCGCTCACTCACGTATCATCGTCGGCTTTATAAAACCATTCAGCGTCATCGAGGTGGTTGTGGTAGAGGTACTTCAAGGAGGCCCTCGTCTTCCCCCACAGGTTGTTATATCCTTCCTTCACCTTCAGCTGCACCGCACCCACTTCCTTATCTGAAGGAGACACACAATGATTGATTCTGAGGCATAGGTCCGCCGTCAGTATCGATCATAATTTTTCATTGCAGTCATTGACTGAACTGTGCAAGAATAAAGCAAAAATACTGAATTTACCTGTTACATAAAAAACCTATAGTGAATTAGACGGATAATGAACTGTTTGGGCAACAAAAATGCTCGGTAAATAATTATGATTTAGTTGATTTCCGGCGGCCAATTTCTTTCGCGCATATCCTAGACCTAGAGAATAGATACCCCAACAAGAAACCTTTGTCTCCGAGAATTGGTCACGGCCTCCCAGTGATTTTCTCTACTACCACTTGCCTGCCTTGCTGCTGAGGAAGACCTGTTGATCGCAGCGTTGTCCCCAGGTGTTCTTCACATGCTGGGCTCTCAGCAGGTGGTACTTTGGAGACGTGGGAATGAAACACAGCACCCGCGCCTCCCATATCTCTACTGTCGTTATCAGGTACAAGAGGAATTCAAGGGAATAATAAGAATAAGATATATATTTAATGAAAATAATAATAATAAGATATAATATTCTGTTATTACAATAGATAAGAATAATTATTGTTATATATTATTATTACTATTAGTAGTAGTAGTAACATTAAATGCAACAAAATCTTTACAAAAAATAAGACGTAACAAATCTCATTATTATTTCATGCCTGAACTAATGAGCATTATAACAAATGATGATCCTGAAGCAAAGAAAAACTATATCAAAATAATTTCTGACAGACAAATCCTACAGTATGTGCGCAATGAGGCAGCATTGCAGAACACATAACTTAATGTGTTAATGACCTGATAACGAAACTTATAAATGGAAGTATTAAATTAGTACAATTCAGTTCACCTCAGTGTTTAACTATAGTCAGAGTCAAACGAGACAGTCAGGGAACATTATAGAGGCTGAATGAAACAAGCACTAGTGCCACTTAAGGGTTACTGATTGGATTAGATTTTAATAAATTTTTAAATCTGTAGATAATATGTGATAATAATTTGAATTGGGTGGCTTACGGTGGTCATCGCGCTAGTAATATTCTCTCCCTCGAAGTGTTTTGTAGTAGACAAAAAACATAGATCTCTTTAATGTTTAAATACGAGAAAACGCCATAGTGCTTCCTCAAGCCTCATCAGTAGGGTATTATCGGTGTTTGCCCCATCAGTGTTGTTAAGTGTCGCATCCCAAAAGGTGTTAGCAGTACCACATCAATGAGAGGTGATCCTAGTGCCAAATTCTAACAGGTGTGAGTAGTGCACTTCACAGACACCAAGCAAGTAATACAGCAATGCTTATGTATTTCCAACGCGTTATACTTGACAAAAATAAGTCGTTCAAGACACACCTTGGCAGCGTGTTATACAGCCAATGAGCTTCTCGGTCATCACTACCTCACCAGTGTACAAAACAATGAGCAAAATATAAAGTTTCTAGAATAGTGTTCCAGTGATTTTGCATATCATATGCACAGCTAGATCAAGGAGTCCCCAAATTATGGACCGCACGTCAGTTCGGGCTTGCTGAGCATATGTGGTAAGGTACTGTAGATAGTAAAGTCCCTGGTTACCCCTACTGTAACTCCCGCTGTTGGGGTAAATGAAAATTCTGAGATAATTGAAGAGTTGACAGCTTAAAAGGCACAATTACCCAAAAAACTTCTGAAAGAGCTATAACTAAGCTGGACAAGTCACAAAACTTAAAGGTGGTGCGAAAAACGTGTTCGGCGTCAGCAACGGAGTTATTAAGCATATCAGCGCTCGCTTCCTGTTCCAGGGATCAGCAATTCGATTCCCGGGCACTCCCAGTTCACCCAGCTGTAAATGGGTACCTAAGTTTAAAACTTGGGGAAGTGAATGCGGTCGAGTGCAGCCATGCTGCCTCCTTGTGTACCAAAGGCTTAGTATACAGCGTGCTATATATATATATATATATATATATATATATATATATATATATATATATATATATATATATATTATTTTATCTAGTTTGATTTAAGCAATCCGCGTACACCATCCTAGGGAAAACAAAAACGAACATCTGCTCCACACCCTGCTACGTGAGCCAGTATAAACTTGATGAGAAACTGAACTAACACAGAACAAAATTTGAAGATGCTTGTTGGAGGTAATTCTCAAGACTTACTTGATGAAGGCCGTACTGATCTGTAGGGAAAGATCCTGTGGTCGAGGGTGATGAAGACGACGATAGTGAAGCTTACAAGTGTGAGGAAGACCAGCTGCTGTGGTCTGCGCCGCATCGCACTTCCACCACCACCACCCAAAAGCCAGCACGGAAAACACCAGCCAGCAACTGTAAGGCACGGAGAACTCTTACTGCTGGTTACTATGAACACAGATAACACCGTCAGAGATAAGGTTATGATAAGACTGGAGATTTGGGGAGTAATTTCCTGAACAGCTGAACTGCAGCTAACTATCAATGAAGAATGTTTAATATCATAATCATCACTTTGTATATCATCATCATTAATGTTTGTTGTCATTGTTACATTTATTGAATCCTTATTTTATAACCTTTAAGTCATCGTTATTATAATCTGTAAATCAACACTGCCATAATTTATAAATCATCATTATAATAGACGATAACAATTACATTATGCACCTTATTATTTTAATGTATAGTTTGTAAATCATCATCTTTATGACACTGTATCTGGTAAATCATCATTATCATATTGCATGTTATATAACAGTATTATAACTCGTAAAATCATTGCTATCATCCTTTGTTAATCATCACTATAATAATTTACGTATCACAAAAATAATATCTATATCATTATTATAATTTGTAAAACAGTATGTATGAAGTTTGTAAATCACCAACGAAAGGCCGGGCGTCTGGGGGAAAATTAATGTGTCAATTCGTGATGGACGACAGTAGGTATGGTTGGCTGATTTAACATACTGTACCACAAGTATGTAATTAGCGGGATGGTAATTAATGATCTATCTACTTTACAAGTATAAGTTATCAGAACCACCTGTTCATAAGTAGATAGTAAAGCAATTACAGTATTTCAATGCATGTTGTATAGAAGTGTCGACTAATTTGCTGAAGTACAGTTCTAGCAAAACTGGACCTGACTAAACTTAACTACCCTAACTAAAGGTAAACCAAATATAACTTAATTTATCTTCTCTAAATTTAACTTAACCTAATCAAATCTAACCTAAACCTGCTAAACCAAACCTTACTAAAACTAGCTTAACTAAACTTATCCTCGCAACTTTATTTAATCTGATTTAACAACACCTAACTAAATGTTCGCTTGTAGTTCTTAATTCAATTGTAATGTTAATCGACGTTTGATTTATGGCGAAAAACCACAATTTATTACACAAACTGTTCAATATTTACCTTACTATCACTAATAAGACATAATCCCGCAACCCAATTTCCATTAGGGTTTTATTTCATTGCAAATTACATGTTGGGGTATTTGTTTTGTGGGATAACATCCAATGGCATTTTGTCTGGTATGAAAGCGTTTTATGAGTGTTTTTTGTTTAGTAAAAAAAACGCCCCAGTATGGAATTCTTGTTTAGCGGTCAGGATTAGTATTCACCGGGTTAATTTCTGCGCAGCTGAGCATAAAGATTTTGATTTGCATAATGAATTTGTGTTCAGTCAGGTGTGCCGCTTCAACACCTGTACACAATCCATCTTCATATCGAATATTAATATGGCTAGTTCAGCCACGCTAGCAAACTGGTGACGTGACACCACCTGACAGCCAGACAAGTGAAAGAGCTAGAAATGACGGGAAGACAGTTATGAACAAGGTGATGGAATTGGAAGGGAGACGGAAACTCCATTAGCTTACTACAGTAGGTGTGTAGAGTGTGTTCAGAGTGCATGTAGAGCGTTAAAGGTGTGTGTAGATTGTTCAAAGAGTGTATACAATGTGTTGAGAGTGCAGTGTGTTAAGAATGTGTGTAGTGTTGAGTGTGTATGTAATGTTGAGAGTGTGTAGAGAGTTGAGAGTGCGTGTAGAGTACTGACTACTAGGTTGCGTCGAGTGCTAAGGGTCTGCAGAGTGTAGTTCTGAGGTTGTGTACAGTGTGTATGTTGAGGTGCGTGGTAATGTGTTGAAGGTGTGTTTTGAATGTAGAGTGTTAAGAGTGGATGTACGGTGTGTTAAAGGTGAGTGCGCGGAGTGTGTGTGTAAAGAAAGCGTAAAGGAGCGTCGACCTTGCTAACAAACGCTTTAACTGGAACAGGTTTCCGTTATGTCATGCGGCGTTAGTTCCGGGTAAACAGATAGTGTTCGTCGCTTTTGATTAAAAAAATATAAATATTTTTCATGTAAGGGTAAAGATGCCGTTTTTTTTTTCATGCTCTATGTGGATGAGTTGATTTTATTACACTTCTGGAATGAGGTGGTCTTTATTCAACTATACTATTGCTCATCATATTTATTCGTTTATGTGTTTCTGGAAGGTTCCGATATCCTTACAAATATCAAACGTCATCATGATTATCTTCAAAGGCTTATTTTGCATCTGCCTGAAGCTTATGCAATCGTCTAATCATGTTCATTGTCTATCCCCCCTCACCCATAAGCTGAACAGGGTGTTGAACTATGACCTCTTGTTTTTATATAAAAGTAGATTTATTTATGTATTTTTACTTTGCATACCGTACAATAATGAATAAAATACCTAAAATACCACACTCTATTATACAGCATATTGAATTATAATACTAAAATATAACTTTTTTTTACGAATGAAGTGATGAAAAATTACATTAAAACCACTCTACTGCACAAATTTTTAAATAAAATATAAAGAATACCATGAAGCATTATGTCTCAAGCTTGGACCATGTAATCTTAAATATTTGGTCGTTTTGCTGTGGGACCATATTGTTGTGTGAGCCCCTACTGTAGTGATTAGTCAATTAAGAATAGACGAGTTGACGATCGGAATTTTTTCGTAAAATAGCAAGTCAATGGGAAAAGAAAACGCTTAAATTCACTATGGTAATGCCCTTTTTAAATAAATTGGCCAAAAAGTGTCAAAAATAAGGGTTAAAGTTGCTAAGAAGTCACATGACTGCGAAAAGCTGTGATTAGTTGTGACGTCACTGGTTGAGGTGAACTTTGCAGCGGGAGGTTAGTCAGCTGTAGTTGTCCAACGTCCTCGGCTGATCGGCTCAGTAAATAAATATTAATAGATAATAATTAATTATGCTTTATTGTGCAACACGGTAATACTATTTTGAATATATAAATATTACTAAGCACATAAACTAATTCAATGTATATTAGCTGCCCATTCAACAAATTTCATAGTTTAAACATTACAAACAATATTGGTATTATTTTGGTTTTGATCATTTAGGGAACCTTAAGATTCTAACTATGGGATTAAGTACTTTAAACAATAAGACACATTATGTCTACAGGATTTCTGTTGCAAAACATTTTTCGAACGCATCAGAAAATACAGGGTATGGTGAGTTACAAGGTTAGCTTAACAGACATCGGTAAAGGGCGGGGGGAGGAGGGTAGTAACTCAAACTAGTGATTTCCGATACAAATGAAGATCTAAATCGTTCATAACACATCGCAAACCACCAGAAAAAAACATAGTCTGCATGTTTAAGTTCAGGGATGACCAAAACTTAAAATTTACCCAATATAGTTTATCTCAAATCTAAACATCAAAATACTTATGGTAGTTATCGTAAAATTTTACCCATTAATTAATATAAATGATGATATATCCCATTGGTTCATTAGTGAATCATCAAAACAATAACAGCACTATGTTGTCATGTTTAGCTCGCCTCAGGCATTATCAAAGCAAAATCCAGACAATGTCATCGCTTCTAAATTTACTCGCATCTCCGTCAAGTACTGATATACTCTGCAAATGCACTGAAAAAAGAAGAGAAAGTCTACCAGGTAAGAATACATGACAGCTGATTTGATGTGAACATGGGGGTTTTTGATGTCCAAAAGACCATAAGAATGGAGGACACTGCAGCAGGCCACACTGGCCAGTCCCATTTACACCCAACCCCTATCGCTCATATATCCATCCAACCTATGTTTGAAGCTGCTCTTCACGGCACATTTCTTCACTTACGAAATGTCCATGAATTGACCATGAAAAAAACACCTTTAAAATTTACCTATAACTGCAGCCCAGCGGTGTTTGAAACTAGTGACGTCATTGTAAATGGCGGTCCTGTTTCCTGAGAAAAGGTTATCTCGACTATTATACAGTAGCAGGACTTTAAACTTTTATTACAAATTATATATACCGTATCACTCTACTGTACGAACGTGACAGTGTATTTCTTGTGTTTGCCAAGAACCGTCAACTTGTCCATTATGGACATGAGTGGGGAAAAAAAACAGATATTCACTGTAACACAGTTGATAATCATTTTCTTGATCACAATTTATTTTGCACTATTGTTTATATATCGCGGGGTTTTTGTTCACAAAAAAAACCAGAAAATTTCCCATCCAGTACATTTTCAACTTTCTTTTACTCCACTGTCGTTTATTACATAATACTCAGTTAAACTTGAGATAAATATTTCTTATCAGTAGTACTGTACTTACTACCAAGTAAGTATACTGTACTGTGGATCCAGGTTTTCCTCGCCGCCAATTTGAGACTTTATTAAAAGTATCTTGTGTTTTATTTTCTGTAACTCCAGATTGGCACCACACTTCAGTTCTATCACCTCTCACCGCCACGGGTACTCCTCGCTCACTAACTACATAGCACCAGTTGCACCACCCCCGTTTCGTCACTCCACCAACAGTCCCTCAGTGATAAGCGGCATGAACAGAAAACGGCTTCCTCTGCGAAGCTCGCAACACACGGTTCGATAAGGTGACGAGAGACTCGAAACGTTAGAGGTACCGTTATCTTTCTGACAGTTGCTGGTTACCTCCACATTCTTTGAGTTACCATTACAGTAAATTATGTGGATTAGACAACGTTAGGATTTTAAATTGGTGATGTAAAGGCTTTAAAATTAGTTAATTTTTTTACTTACAAGTTGCGAAGGCATAGTGTCCAACGAAATGTTCGAGTGGCGTATTTAGGGGATAGCCAACCTACCACCTGTAATCCCCCCTTTACGAATAGTGTTATGCGGCGGCCACAGCAGCGGCAGGGCGAATGACCTAACAGTTTATCTATGTACTCTCCGTTACATTATTTTATCTGTTTCTTCCATGTGTGTGTCTGTGTGTGTGTGTTTAAGTTTAATTTGCTTCTTATATTGTTTTGGCTTGTTTTCAATTATATTTTGTGTTAAAAACTTGTATAAACAATTAAGAGGTAAATAATAAGAATAGACACTAGCCACCAGACACTGCACGGAGGGAGGGGAGGGTGAGGGCTGACCACTTCTGGCAGAGGAAGAGAAGGGAGATAATGCAGGGTGACGAGACTCAATCTGTTATAATGGTGAGAATAATTAAAATAACGAATTACTGAAGCTTCTCGTTAAGCGGGACTAATTTCTGTAGAGATCAATAATTCAATACTCATTGTCAAAGAGAATAATAGATGGAAATGGACGATTGATTGTCCTTATGTAATTTAATGTCTTGATACACGACACCCGTGAGAGTTCTGTGCGTATATGTACAGTACACTCCCCAACAATAGTCCGATGAGGTTTCTGAATCTCTAGGTTCATGAAGAGGCGGGTGAGGCAACAGGACTTTTATTGTCGAGTGAATATGTCCGTATTGTGTGTTTGCTCATTTTTACAGTGCATCTGTATAGGAATGCATGCGTGCTTTTATGTTTTGTGTGAGCGTTTGTATTGGGCGAGTATGTGTGGCCGTTTTACCAAATCCATGTGCACGTAGTGTTTAGTGTAAGTGGTGTTCATGCTTATAAATTTTAATGTAAATTTGTGTGCGAAGTGCGTGTATACAATTGTGTACGTAGACTGTGTATGTGACTTGGTGTTATCATTTTGCATGAACGCGTGTATTTATTTTTGTAATGCACGTATGGGAATTTCTACTGAGCTTTTGATAAGATACACTGTACGCGCAGCTAGTTTCTGCCCGTGTTTGCAATGTGTGTGTACTGTACATGCGTATCTACCCCCTGCGTACGTACACAGGTGCGTGTGCAGATAAGTATACATGATGTGTACAGTAGGTAGTACATGAGTGGTTGTGTGTTTATGATGTGCGTTGGAGGTGCATGGTATATAAACAGCTTTAAGTGGCTTTTCGGTGATTTTAGACACAATCGTGCAAAGCTAGTAAGCTGATAAGTGGAAAGGAAAAAATCCAGGTAAGGGTCGTGGTACCTAGTGTTCCTGGATAAAATTAAATACCTACACGTTCAAATGTGCTCTCTCTCTCTCTCTCTCTCTCTTTCTCTCTCTCTCTCTCTGTCATTCTTCTATCGGTTTTTCTCCCTCTCTCTTTCTTTGTCTTTCTTTTTCTCCCCCCTTCTAAATTTTATCGAAATAACACCACTATCACTTTTTACCTCCCTTTATCACTCTTATCCTGGGTGAATTCAGAAAAAATTTAGCTTAATACTTTAATCCCTCTATCTCAAACACCCTTTACACCCACACACCCTAATCAGTCCCCTCCCTCACATTCCCTCCTCTCTATCACTTAACTGTGCTAGTTATCAGCAGTCAGGTATCAGGGTAAGGCTTGATTTGGTCTGGTCTTAATTTTGTTTGCCTGACTTGAGCGAACACAATTTTGTGTTTACAATTTCTTGCAGTCCCCCTTGTTCGAAAGGGCTACCGTGATCAAAATGTTGGTACTGTGGTGAGATTCAATCCTTTTAGATCCTGAAATTAATAACTACTTTGACTAAAGACTTACAGGGTGACTTCAGAAGTGAGGCGCGAGGTTTTCTAGTATGTAAACGAAGAAGCGCAGACGACATATCTGGAGTAGTTGAAGGAAAGATGGCGCATTTCTGGACTTCGCCGAGAGTTCAAGCATTATTCCTTTTCCCTTTCATCCTCCTTTGTGGCCTCCCTCAAGGAGTCGAGAGAAAAAACTCTCCAAGAGACAAAGCTGAAGTGCACACGAACTCTGTTTCTGACAACGATGAAGGGAATTTATTACATAAAACGGCCCTCACTCAGCAGGAGCCTCCGTCAGAATGGGGAATACTGCAGGAGGCGCAGGTGAAGAACTACAGTGGATGGCGGCTACTACAAGTCTTCATTCCATCAAGAGAAAACTTACAGACGCTGCTGGAGGTTCTGGAGGCCAGCAAGGATGTAGTGATGATGGGGGCCGTCAAAGAGAAGTCCCGTGTGGTGGTAAGTCACTGTGCTGATTATTTATTCGTGTTGTTCGAGTGACTGTGTCCTATCATTGTGTCCTCTTGAAGTCCTGTCGGCTTTAACTAGTGTTAGCAACTTTGTTCTGTTTATCATTCATTTTATCCTACTGCTTACTTTCAGGCGTATATACAGGCTAATTCTCGGCTTCAATAAATTCTGCTGAATGAACAAAACTTTTCAGTCATAAAAATAGCAGTAACTTTTTCTTCACTAACAAAACACGTTCATTAACAATAATCAGTTATATTTATACACGTTCATTAACAAACAAATCACTGTGATTAGATCATATTACTAAGTCAAAATATAAAATTACAAGCAAAACTAAGTGAACATTTCAGTGTACTGTACCTCTGTGTCAGGAATCAAAGAGGGAACTGGTGGCGCTCGTGCATCATACATGTATACACTGGAAAATCGTTTGGCTGAACACGAACCCGTCACGGACAACTCTTGTCCACTGACCAACCAATCATGGTCTAGCTCTAGCCTAACCACAGCCTGATTTTGAACCACACAGACTTAAGTATGTTTCTTTTGTACATTCTGACTTTAAATATTACAGAAGGGTGTGTAATAAATTGTCTTAGTATTGCCCATAAATATGCCTTTAAAACAAAACTATTTGAAAATGCACTTTAGCACAAAAAAGGCTAACGTATGCATTTGTATATCCACATATCCAAATGCGTACCTGGTGTAAATCGAAAGTTGCGAATTCGTATTCAGGGACAAGTTGCTGGAGCTTCCAATAACTTGATGACATTAACCATTGACTCTTCAGGCTTCTATGCCCTTGACTCTTCAGACTTCTACGCCCTTAACTCATGAGACATAAAGGCAAGCATGAACTTAGCATGCTTCCCTGTTGGGCACTGTAAACGCTTCTGCGCTTCACCTTACACAAGGATGTAGGGGAGTGCCCAATAAAAAAAAAAAAAATATCCAAATGCATAACAATTATCCGGAACCTAACCTATCACTGTGCCTTCTGTTTGTCCTCCCACTGGTGTACGATCCTAATCCTCAATATTTCTTCGCATCTTTACGTTGAAAGTTTCAGTGTCTTTTATGTTATGTCTTACTGAGGCACCATGAAGTACAGTAGCGGGGACTACACCACGATAACTCCTGTGAAGAAATAATAAATGTAAGCGTTATTCAATTCAAACGGCTGTAAAGATAGTAACGTGTATCAATTGTATCAGTACACGTGACTAACACACACACACACACACACACACACACACACACACACACACACTTCAATATTAAATAAATAGTTGTGCCAAATATCCGACTTTCCTCACTAACTACGAAACAACCCTCACGCGGTTTCCATATATCCTAGATACCTCCCTCTGGTCACCAAAAAGTTAATTTCTGTTTTTTTATTAAAAAGCCCAGATTATGATGCCTGAAATCTTGTGAAATAGTTAGAAAGTGTTAACTATAGTCGCATGTTGGCTGAATCGTAGGAATTGTTGTGTAGGGTCTCCGTTTCCAGCCCCGACGTTTTAAGTCCAACGGTGCCACGATCTCATGATCTGGGAGATGTATCACTCGGAATTTATTTTATACCACTTTTTTTTTATTTCCACCTTTTTATACTAGACGTGTGATTATATAATACTGGATAGGTAGGTGAATAGAAAAAATGGAATACATACTTTCTTTTTTTAATTTACTTCCATGTGGCATTTCTAAATGGAATGCGACTTAAGGCGGCGGCACACTGGGCACTTTCCCCCAAACGTGTTTGGCAAACACGGTCCGGCCAGCAAAACAAAGATGTTTTGCGTCACACTGGGATGTTTTGTTGACGCATCTGCCCAAATCAACGAAAACAACAACAAAGTGTCAAGACGAGGTTCGGCATGGATCCCGTTACTACAGTTGAGGCCTTGTAGGATTGTGCTATAGTTCTTCAATTGCTGAAGCAAGTGAGGGCGAAGATGATAGAAGTGAAAAAGATGAGCCTTGGTTCCTCCAATAGTCGCACGTAAACAGTGAGATCTGGAGGTTGAGTGAAAGCCCAGACCCCTTCCCCTCCCCGTGTGTGTGTGTGGAGTTTACCATGCCCTTAATACAGTAGATATGGATGACAGGTAATTATGATATTTGGGACTTCTTATCACATGTACTGATAACATTTCATCTATTATCACATGTTAGCTGAGTTATGACTTAATATTTATATAGGTAAAGATGGCGGTGAGCTCACACACCAGCGTCCCTCACCTGCTGAAGTCATCCAGGTACCACCAACATGACTCTAACCATCTCGTCACTCACCGCGCCGCAGAGAACAATACAGCAGAGGAGGGCGGTGGAGAGAACCATCAGGATGTTGGTGACTATGGTGAGGCAGCAGGTGGTGTGGGTGAAGGACTGGACAATAGGGGAGACACAGCAACTGGTGAAGGAAGAGGAGGGCGGCGGCAACGTCGGGGGTTGATGGAGGAACTGCTGACGTGGGGCACAATCTACGATGATCTGGGTGACGCCTTGTTTATCTCCACCAAACCACGACTGACTGGTCACGGTAATAATAATGATAATAATAACATTGATAATAATGATAATGAAATAATGAGAAGAACAATAACAATAATGATAATAAAAGACACTAATAGTAGCAAACCTTCTCCCATACGATATCTCATATGACCTGTTCGCGGCTATACAGTGGAACAAAGTACACGTAAAATGGTATTAATGTGTGGGGTCTATGGCAATGGATATTTGTATTAAGCTGCATCTTAATTAGTCTAAATATTATCAACAGCTCAAAATATAGGTGTTAGGGTTGCTGAGGGTTTAATTCCATAAGATAAAAAAAAACCCAATAATTTCACACAAAATTGAGGTTTGTATGTACAGGACCAGAGTGAGAGTGTTATAGTCCTGACGGCCCACTCTGGTCCAGGGTACAAGACTCGTAAGTTGAAAATAATTTTACACATGTGAATATTCTGGTACACCCACAGCTAATCAGAGAACTAAGATTTGTAACCTGTTCATCACTTTTAAAATTACGATCAGGTTGTGCTGGATACACACACATACGTTAACTCAAGCATATGTATTGCGGTTGTTATCAAAGGGTCTTCCGAGCAAACTCTGACTTGACCAGAAAAACTACTTTCCTAACATGTGATATATATCTCCTCTTCCTCCACAACTACCATCACCTTATCCCTTTACCACCACAACTACAAGTATCTCACCCCTTCCCCATCACCACCACAAGTACCCCACCCCTTCCCGATCACCACCACAAGTACCTCACCCCTTCCCCATCACCACCACAAGTACCTCACCCCTTTCCCATCACAAGTACCTCACCCCTTCCCCATCATCACCACAAGTACCACACCCCTTCCCCATCACCACCACAAGTACCTCACCCCTTCCCCATCACCACCACAAGTACCTCACCTCTTTCCCCATCAACACCACAACCATCATCATCTCACCTTTCCATGCCCCCAGAGTCGCTGGCGTGGGACGACTACTACCGCTACCCCAGCATCGTCACCTTTGCACGGGGCCTGGCGGAACAGCGGGCTACAGTAGAGTGCCTCAACCTGGGCCACACCACAGAGGGCCGCCCACTCCTGGCACTCATCATCGCTACTGAGTGAGCGCTCCTTCATCCATCTATTCGTCTATATATATTATAGTACATCTGTCTGTTTATCTATGTAGCTTCTGGCTGCTCCATCTGTTTCTGTTGAACACTTGTAAGGCGTCTCTCTCTCTCTCTCTCTCTCTCTCTCTCTCTCTGTTTTACTGATTTTTGACAGTTTCGTGGTAATTGTCTCTTCTCCTGTCTTCTCTTTTCATTTTCCACATAACTTTCTTTCAAATTTATTTCTTTGCCGATTACATTTTTGTTGCCTTTTTTGACTGATCGCCTGACTGACTGGAAGCGTCGGCCGTACCTAGCCCTCCCCCCCATAGCTTCACGGCACTGCACCCCAAACGGCCTAGGCATGTCAGCCACTCGCCACTAACCAGTAATACATAAATACAGAAATATTAATAACCAATATTTCTACTAAAAAAAAAAGAAAAAATATTGTTGTAATTATAACTTCGTGATGTGTGAAGGGTAGCCTAATGTTTGCTGGATCTTTAATGTCTACCTGAAACTAAGTAATTTCCTTTACGTTTCCTGGATGATTCAGTAGCGGAATATTTAAGTTAAATGGAATGCTTTCAAAACCCTTCTTAAAAATTTATTCACTCATCTTTTTCCACTTTAGTTTTCTTCTCTTACCGTGTACTGTACTCCTTGGTGATAAGACGCACTGTAATGATCAACTACATTACAGTCTTTAAGACCGACATAACAACACTGCCTTTTGTCTTTAGTTGTATTTCCAATAAACTTGTTACACATAACGATTGTCCATATACGTCTATCTACGGGTTATAAGGTACTTCCAGATACGTACTGTAGTTTTACTTCAAATGCATCAGAAGTTTAATTATTACAATATTTTTTGCTGCATAGTCCAATGATTTTGATCAGACGTTGAGTTGTGTCTGTAATGTATTCATGTTTAAATATTTGGAAAGATTCACAAGAATGGAGATAAAAAACATTTAATTTTTTTTTTTAAGTGGGCTTAACAAATCAAAATATTTTAAACATTCAAAACTATTAACAAAACGAGACAGGTGTATTGTCGTCACCACCCGCTACAGTATAGGCTGTTTCTTCAGTGCTAGGCGGATGGCCCAAGTCTACCGCAGAAAAATCCTGAGCGCCAGAAGGCACCGAGCCCGAGGACATCCCCAGCAGACCTACAGCACACAGAAGAACGCCCCGCGGGAGGAGGGGAATGGAGTAATAAACCAGATCACCAAGAAGAAGAATCCTGAGGAAGCAGGGGGGAAGAAGACCATTGTTAAGGAACTTAACAGAAAGAGGAACATGGTAACTAGGAGAAACCGGGCTGACAGACAGAGATTAAAGAACCTGAGGAATAAGGAAATAAAATTGAATAAAACCGAACCGAGGAAAGGGGTAGAGAAGACATTTGATAACCAGAAGCTAAAGAACAAAATATTCGGTAGGAGAAATGGCAGTATGGGAACATATGGCGGCACAAAGAGGAAGTCACGCGCGAGGCACTCCAAGCCTGTGATCCTTGTTGAAGCAGGTACGTTGATCAACAGTTAATTTGCTTAGACCCTAGAGAGAGTGGCACTGTAAGTGGCAGGTGGGCGGATGTTTCGTTCAGCTTATAGTGTGTTGGACTGTTGAGTTCACTGGTTGATAGGAAGAGTATAACGTAGGTGTGAGGAATAAAAATATCAGAATGAGGAAATCAAAGTGAGACATGATGATATCAGAATGAGGAATGAGGACACTAAATTTCCTTAAAATAAACCCGTCATCCTGCTTACCTTCCTCTCTTTCAATTTGCATTGTATCTACACTCATGATAGTCTCCCTCTCATCACAGTAACTGGGGCTATGTATCCTCCACACCTTTAAACTCACATTCTTACCCCTCAACACACTCGGCCACCTGTCTGTCCTACAATAACTCTTTAGGCCGTCAGCTTCCACACCTCTGTACTGTAGCTCCATACTCACCTCCTTCCATATATCTTACACTATCACTCCCGTTTATAAACTCATTCACTTGGCTGTTATTAGTATTCACTTTCAATTTTTCCTTTTCATGCTGAACCATATCTTTCAAACTCTTCCACACATCGCTAAGATCACCTCGTCCCATTTTTTAAGTGTTATAACGCTCTCTCTATCGTCTGCCTTCTGAAATATTGAAAATGACAAAACCCTCCTCCTCCTTCCTCCATGGATAATTATCCTCCCTTCCGTAAAATCCAGAATCTCCCACCTCTCTCTCTCTCACTCTCTCTCCTTGTAGGAGCCCACGCCCGGGAGTGGATCTCGCATGCAGTAGCGACCTTTCTGGCGCAGCAGCTGGCCGATGCAGGAAAAGTGTTCTTGAGGCATGTCAGTTTTATCATAGTACCGGCGATCAATCCGGATGGATACGAGTTCACCCACACCAACGATCGGCTGTGGCGTAAGAATCGCCGTCCCGGCAACCGCACCGGGTGTTATGGTGTCGACCTCAACAGGAACTGGGGGACGGCATGGGACACTGGGGCCGGCTCCAGCGACAACTTATGCTCGGAAATCTATCGCGGTTCCCACGCCTTCTCCGAGATAGAGACCCAGAGTCTTGCAAACCTGGCCTGGGTGTTCCGGAAGACGGTGAAGATGTTCTTAAGCTTCCACAGCTTCGGCGAGTACGTCCTCTATCCCTGGGGATACACCATGGAGAAGCCCGCCAAGAAAGCCAAGCTCAAGAAAATGGCCAAGAAAATTGCTGACAGACTAAACATAAACAACATGCACTTTCAGGTGAGTGAAACTAATGGGTCATTAAGTTTCCATACAGGTAATCCACATTTCATCTGGTCGGCAGGTAACTTTTTATTGCTTCATGGAATAGTGACCCCGCCCTGTCAGCTGGGAGGGAACTTAAAAGGCCAACTTCTAATGTCCAGTTCCCACTCTGTAAAATTGGGAAGGTGACAGTAAGGGGAGCCACCTGTATACCAGCTGGCAACCGGTAAAACATGCTATCAGGTAATTACGGCTATGCACGTAAGTTTGGAATATGGCCGTAAAACGATGATGATGGTGATGAGGAGTCACCTGTTGTTTGCAGACGACACTGTTATAGTGGAAGATTCTGATACAAATGTTAGAAAATGATTTGGGAAACATATATAAGGAGAAAACGGCAGCAAATGTAAAAAAAATGAAATGATGACAATAAAGACAGGGAGAAAAATATCATGCAAAGAAATTATTGAAACAGACAGACAGACTTCTTTGTTATATATATATATATATATATATATATATATATATATATATATATATATATATATATATATATATATATATATATATATATATATATATATATATATATATATATATATATATATATATAACAATTCCACCATCTAAAATTGGTCTCCATCCCCCAAGTTCACAATTCATCTGACACCTTACACATGGTAACCTTCCCATCTTACTCTCCTCCCCACAGTACGGTCAGTCCTCGAGACTCTTGTATCTGGCTTCCGGCACCGCCGAAGACTACATGTATAATTTGGGCGTTCCCTTCACCTACACCATCGAGCTCCCGAAGGACACCTTTATCCTCCCACCAGAGTACATCCTCCCTGTGGCTAGCGACGTCTGGGACGCGGTAGTGTGTACAGTCGGGGACCTCGCCAAGACTGAGAGAGCCAAGAGCTTCTGTAATAAGAAGTTGGTCAAGGTTCAAGACCATGGGAATAAAATCTTGAAGGGGTGGATCAACAAGGGGGTGCCCATGGCTCGAGCTGAGGAGATCGTGAGAGAGAGACACGCAACGAGATGACTGAGAGTGTCGCAAGGGAGACGTGCTGGAGACAGAGATTTTCATTTCCACAAGAAATGGAGAAGCTCCACAGTTGATACTGTAAAGTAGCAGCTTATGGAATAAAACGAAGGAAGACAAGCTCAAGAGGACGTTTGACTTGTGACGTGAGTGATTGGGTGAGAGTTTATTTGTCATTGTAACTCTAACAGATTGTGTCAGCCATAATGCAAAATGGTCATAAATGTTACCAGTGTTGTGTTTATTTCATATCTTTATATCTTGTGTTACATAATTTCTCCCCGCAATTATCCAATAAAAAAATTCAATAAATAATAAAGAGGTTAGTGAGTGATTTTATTTTCCTTCGTACAAGATATTGTTCATTTATATCGATTCAAAGTTTGTCTGTCCCTATCTATACTTCATCATTGTCTGTCCATCAGGTAATAAAAAATATTAGGCGTGACAGCTCTTCAGAAAAGACACAATTGGGCGGATCTCATAGAGACATTCAAAATCTTGAGGGATGAAAAACATAAACCCGGCCAATTTTTCGTGATGCCACACGCCACCAACACTTCGAGCTTACCAAGGTATCATGCAAGACGAATACAAGGAAATACTTCGTCACACAGAGAGTGATAGACTTATGGAACAGTCTACCAGCTCAAGCTGTGGAAGCGAGAACAGTACAGGGCTTCATATAAGCCCACATGGACAAGATTAACAAAAACAGTGGAGGGATCCTACACAGGCCGTACTGAGCACTTTCCCTCACCATAGCCACCTCTATAGTTGGGGGGGGGGGGCGATAGATCAATCAACAAACACAATAAAATAAAATATTTTACTACCTTACGTAAACAAATGAATACACCTAACCTGTATATTAGTAACAACACCTTTAGTAAAGATAAAGGCGCTTCACTTTACTCATGTGTGTGTATTTCATTCACTTGACTCCCAGGTATAACTATACAGCATTTGATTCATCCAAACTATGACCACACGTGACGACACCAGTGATGCTTCGCACTTGTTAAATAGATGTCGGGGAAGGAGCTGGCGACGGGAGTTTACAGGTCTTTACGGGCGTCGAACTTGACGAGAACATAGGAGGCGGTTTCGGCTGAGTTCCCAAACACCTTCTTGATGACCATGTTGCACTCGAGAAAATATCCTCCAATATCGTTACCCACGTTGGCCCCGTTGGCGTGGATCAGGATCATCTGCCAGAGGAAACAAAGGGGGAGGTGAGGATCATCACAAGGGAGTGAATATTCATGAAAGGGAGGTAAGGATCGTCCTCAAAGGGGGATATAAGGACACGAATCATCATAAAGGGCAGGTGAGGATCGTTCTAAATGGGAGAAAGGAGTTTAAAACTTTATAAATAGGAGATTAGGGGTAAGGATCATCCAAAGGAAGAGACAGGGACGTGGATATTTATCTTGGAAACGATAAGAGGAAGAATCATCCTATGATTTCGGGATAATTTATTAAGAAATGTAATATGCTGGAGAAAGAGGAAATAACTTACAATAAATCATAATAACAACGTCTGACTTCCTGAAAACAAAGTTAAAAACGGAAATACAAAACTACAGATATTAAAAAGCTAAAATTAATGTAGCGTTTTAAAAAATCGTAACAATAGAGAATTACAATGAAACTAACAAAGAAAATTAAATCAAATAAATCAGAAGATAGGCAAAAGGACAACGACGATATAAAAAGATGATTTATCAATTAAAAGCTCAAATAAGCTCTAAGAAAAGCTAGAATAAATTAGATGGCACCTTTAAGGGTTATATATATGTAACTTATGCACACTAGAGAAGGGAAAGAGGAGGTGGAGGGACAACATACGCGCGAGGGGTGAAAGAGCCGACGATTGGTTTCTTACGTCCACTTATCATCATTATCATTATTTACAATATTTTAACTTTCGTATTCCGTGATGATTTTTATTGGCAGGTATCTTATGTATAAATTAACTAACTGAAACGCTGAATAGCCTAAGCTGCTGAAACGTATAAATACATTACAATTTGTATGATCTGGTCTGCCCGGCGGCTAAATGATGCATTCTAATTTGTGTTCACAGTTATTAGCCCATATGAGTAATACAAACTCAATACGGCAAATAATAATTAATTTAGGTTCAACAATAAATTAAAAGCTCTTCGTTATAACACCTGCAATGACAAAAAATAAAAATAAATTAATAAAACCTTTCAAAAGCCTCTAATTAAGTCGGGAAAACCTTAAACTGCGTCAAGAAGTATGAAATTAAAATTCATTCCTTACCTTCATGGGTACATCAGGTTCAACCCATTAAGACGAGAGTTTATTCCTTTGAGGATGGTAGTTCAATCCTTTGAGGAGGGATGTGTGGGTTAACCTTTTGACGACGATGATTTAACTCTTTGATTAAGATAGTTTAACTCTCTCCTATTCAATGTATTAAGAATAAGTACGTACTGGAGGGGTGGGTGAGGGGAGGAGGGAGGTCAAATAATTGGCGATTTTATGCCTACGTAACACAGGCGTTGGAGCCGTCAGTTCCTACTTTCACTTTCCAATAAGATTGTGATCCGATTACATCCAGACGATGAGCTGAATGACGGGGAAAACCTGGAAAACAACTAAAATCCAATACAAGCAACACTAAGACCAACAGCTAAGATGAAAGGGGGAGGTTGACTCCACTTTCCCTCCCCCTATACCAAGTGACTCCGTCCTAACCTCGAACGCAGGGAGGACATCCATTCTGGTGTTGAGAAGAATGTCCAGGTCGGTGCCACTCATGTCTAGGACGAGGAGGTCGAAGGACTTGGTGATGCCTGCCGCGTATATCAGGTTCTCGAGTGGGACACACTGAGCCTCAAACGCCACGAGTCCTGTTTCAATCTGAGGAGGAAAAAATTGCAAGAAAGTGGTAAGTTTTGTCCTGGTGGGAAAAACGAAGACGGAAAAAAGGTAAGTTTCGTCTTGAGGAGTAAAATGCAGAAATACAGCAAAGTTTTCCCTGAAGAGGAAAAATGATGGCCAGGCACAGAGGTAAAAAAGGAGTTAGTGTGTCTAAACAAAAAGAGATAGTAAGGAGGTGTTTTTTGTAAATACACCAGAACACAGTATCTTTCCCCATTCGTCTGCTTGTGCATCATATGACTTTATGAAGACTTACATAAGTAAGGATTCCCCTAAATATTCTTTTAATAGTTAGATGCCCGGAGGATCTAACTTAAATATTTTCCCGAACTGAAAAACTAACAACGTATCTGAAAGCCCCACTAAAGCTGTAGTATCACGAAGTCAATCAAAACAGTAAAAAATAACCTGTTAATTAACCACAAACACGATAACTTGCCTCTTATCTAAGTTACTGTACAGGGGAAGAATATAACAGTATGACCCTTACGGAATCTTGATCCAGAAGACGGGGATAGAGAATAAAGAGTGTGGATAGGGGCACTGTTGTGTGACTTACCTGCTGGTCCCAGAGTCGGTGTAGCTTGGTCTGAGAGAGGGTCTTCACCTCCTCCTCCTCGCTCGCCCCTTCCTTTATCACTGGGTACGCCAGTTTCAGCTGCGAACCGAAAAATCAATGAGAAGTTTTCCTGAGAAGATTAGTTTCCTTGAATTAAATTTACTTGCATATTGGTAAACCTCTCCCTCTCTCTTTCATCAACTTTTATTATTCATGTGTCGATTCATCCATCAACTATGTCGGACCAACACATTTTCCACATTTTCACTAAACAATCTATATACAGTATTACATACACTACTTCGTCATCTACACTGCATCCACAACACCATGATCTACGTCCACACGGTAAAAAAAAAAGTAGCTATCCACACTTTGTTTGAAACAATATTGCACCGCAGACGAAGGATTTTGACAGTCCTATCGAGACAACACGAGTCATATTGATAATTTCGAAATTCATCTGACCTATCTGGACAAATTATTTTGTTTTACCGTGTGTACATCTTCATTATCTATATTACATCCACTACACTCTTCTTACCACAGTAGGGTAGGAGTAGGGGGATATGCAGGCCTTGGTCAGCTGGGCCTTCCTACCCTTCTTCAGGATCTTCTTGTAGAGGTGCTCGTTGGGCTCCACTAGCAGGCCTGTCCAGCCTAAGGTCTTCTCCAACTCCAGGGTGACGGAACGATACTCTCCATCCCCAGCACCCACGTCCACGAAGACCCCACCCCGCTGTACCAAGATAAACACGTTATATCATAGATTATTTTACCATCAACAAAGTATAAGAAGGGTTGTCCGCAAGAGCTAAATTAGAGAATGACGCCATGTATATGTGTATCAAATTTAAAAGTTACATCATGAATATTGAGCGAAATATGACTTCCAGAGTGACCAAACCGTAAACTTGGACAGAGGCTCGTGGAAGAAAATCTACGAGATAGATCACGTTCTGTGGTGAGTTTTCATAAACGTAGATGAATGGCAATAAACATCTGGGACAACTAACTCCCTCCACACCTCATTGATACGGTATCTGTGTTAAGGATAAATCTTTTGTAGTTATTATCTGAATCCTCTACGAATAAACATGTGGAAATTAATTGATTTATATATTTTTTCATTTTATTATGAATTATTCTTTATAAACTTGATAAAATATATAATAAATCCAATACAGTCATCATACTGTATAATTGAAAATAAACTTCTATAGAATAAAGGGTTTGTGTTAGCTCATGAAAGATCTGAAAACTATATTAGTAAAGCGATTCTGTCTTTATTACGTCACTGAGACACTATAAGACAACAAGTATGATAACGATAAGGGTGAAAGGCTTCGGCTGTTATCTTATAAGTTCAAGACACCCTAATAAAATTTATCATGGAGATTATGATTAGTGATTTCTGTCCTCCATTCCGTCAGTAAACTATTCTTAACCTAAATCTTTACTACTATTACCTTGTTATTGATCTATTCCTTGACAGACTCTTACCTTGTTATTGATCTATTCCTTGACAGACTCTTACCTTGTTATTGATCTATTCCTTGACAGACTCTTACCTTGTTATTGATCTATTCCTTGACAGACTCTTACCTTGTTATTGATCTATCCCTTGACAGACTCTTACCTTGTTATTGATCTATTCCTTGACAGACTCTTACTTTGTTATTGATCTATTCCTTGACAGACTCTTACCTTGTTATTGATCTATTCCTTGACAGACTCTTACCTTGTTATTGATCTATTCCTTGACAGACTCTTACCTTGTTATTGAAATATTCTTTGATATACTGGAGGATGGCATCGAAGTTGGCTGTCCTGCCGTTGATGCCAGAGAGTTGGTAACCGGAGGCGGTGGGCGGCAGGAAATGGTTGTTCCTCAGGTATGTCGACATCCCGACGTCGTTGAAAGCCGGGGGACCCTCCAGGAACTTGGCCAGGCACACTTTTAAGGAGGGAAGTGAGATTGTCAAGAACTGTATCTCTTCTGAAGAGTTACATCCACATATGGGAAAAAAAGTAAATAGATATCAAATAGGAAATAAAGAGGAAGAGGTGAATAACAGAAATTAATAAATGACTTAGGTATATTCTAAAACACTTGAGTACCATAGATTAAAACCCTAATTGCAATTCATCATACTTAAGCAATGGGTGATTGTACTGAAAAAGATTAAGAATCATACTATATGGATTAAGTCATCGTAGGACTATTCAAGGAGTTATATATCCTATGCAATGGTCTAATAATGCACTGTACTCAATGTTCGGGGGAGGGGATATCGTACTGAAGGAATTAAATATAAAACAATTCAATCAACCAGACACAGCGATGAACTGGAAACTGCAAGTGACAGAGCACCAATAAATTAGGAGACAGTATAATGATTGAGTGTAGATTGGAAAAATGAGGAACGAGAGATAAAATTTACCCAAATGAGTTAAGTATCATCTGTAAAAACAATTTCAAAAATGAGAATAGGAGATAAGTAACAGAAGGAGCATGGGGGAGGGAGGAGAATGTGGCGAAGGGGGGGGGAAGGGAAGTGAAGGAGAGATAAGGGTGGGCGATGGAGGCGAGTAGGGAAGGGGGGAGGGTAGAGAAGGGAGGAGAGTAGAGAAGGGAGGAGAGTAGAGAAGGGAGGGGAGTAAGGCTCACACACACGCACACACTTTCTCTCTTACCTTGTTTTGTACAGGCAGACTTTGAAGGCCCGAACACCATGGCAGCAGCTTGAAGGAGGAAGACCAGCCCGAGGACCCCCAACACCGTCAGGAGGGCCAAACTCACCCACCTACAGGGAGAAGAGAGACGTCCAGGTGTCAGGGTAGGATTGGTGGTTCTGTGTTGGTGGTACAGCAGTAGCGCATTTTCCCTGATGGGGATTCCTTACCTAATTTCCTCATGAGGTCTTTCTGATTCTCTTAATAGCAACCTTACAATTCAATCTCGAATATTTTAAACTTTTTAATGCCGATCATTAGCAACCTTCCATTCCAAGATTTAGCACCTTTCCACGCAGAGATATTAAGAAACCGATTTTGTACTTTCTTGAGAAACATAGAATGAGGGGCAATGTGATCAAAGTACATACAAGGAAGATGAATTTGAATAAGGAAGATATAAATAAGGCAATCAAACTATAAAACTAAGCCAGATCTCGTGACAATGATTTGAATAGAGAAATTCATGTTCATGGAGAAAATAGGTAAATAAAGATGGCTCGGAACTACAATTTTTGTTAAGTAGAACTATTGTATTTTGAAAGCTCTCAACGTGATTTGTCCATGATGTACCGTAGCGCCTGACACATCACCGCCTCCGATACACCGCCGGGTAGCTCATTAATATGGGAGACGAAATTTCTCCGTTAAACTGTAATCATCTACAATGATTTTTATGTGAAAATTTACTGAAAATAACTGCAATATAATCTTAATTATTCTTTCGTCTATGATATCCGGAAATTTGTTTGGCGAGTCGTTCATAACAGCATCCTTAATACAATGCAACATTATTCCTTCAATTAGGTGTAGAGTAGCATCACGGCAACAAGTAATTGATTTAGAAATAAAACACTCACCTATTAGCACGGGTTTTATCCACAGACATCTTGACACACTCACTACCAACTATAGTATACAGTTGTTGTGTCCAGCTCAACTAAGTCGAGTTTTCCTCTACACGTTGGTGCCTCCGTGGCGTAGTTCACCCCTCAAGGCAAACAATGACAGAAAACCAGCACCCAATAGGGTACACTATTATCTTTGTTATGTATTTAGATTTATGTTTTTTGTTGTGTTCCACTCAAATTTAAGAGAATACTTATGGATTGTACGCATCAAAAAATGCTAAGGAGCAATATATATATATATATATATATATATATATATATATATATATATATATATATATATATATATATATATATATATATATATATATATATATATATATATATATATATATGTTTAATGTACCAGATTCCCAGAAAAAAATATGCCTAGGGCTAGTTTATAAAATAATAATAATGAGTCATCTAAGCCGTGTATACTCTGGCCCAAATCTAAGTTTATCATCTGAAGTCCTTTGAAATTTATATTAGACATCTTGGTTGTTAGATTCAAACTCACGCGACACGTCACATTGTAATTTCCGCTCCTATTTCCTTCTCATTTACGCTTCAGGCAGTGACACGGCAACGCAATGTTCCGTCGCCTGTTCCAGGACACAATTCAAGACAATGCCGTCTAATACATTTAATTGTATTGAAATTAAATTTTACTTGAAACATGTGACTTGTTTGTTTTCTTCAAAATCGTTGATTAGGTGCAGTTCAGCATGTTAATTAAGGATCAGTGTTGAAAACCTTGTATGTTTGTACAGGAATTATTTTTGATAATGACTGGGAAAACTTCGTCCATTTTCCACGAATTATTCGCCTCTTGTAACTTTTCGATGCCGATCTTTGTTGTTATCTAATTGTAGACTACTGAATTGTACCATAATCTCCAGTTCCAAAATAATGTGCATAGTTACCCAAAATATTATCACAGGTACTGGTAACTAACAACATTATTTTTTTTTTTCAGCCCAGGTTCTCAACAGAATTTTGAGGAAATACTACAGCTTGATTGTGAAGAAAATCAAAACAATAAAAATGTTGCCAAAATGTGAATGAGTTAGTCCTGTCACCTTTTTTTCTGAGATTGAACACTTTCTGTCTTGGGAATGCACACATGATCCTGCTTCTGCCATCAAATCCTTCACCAGTTATGAGAAAGATCATCATTACAGTCACTGACATTTTTGATAGCATGATCCTGCCACTACCGTCAAATCCTCCACCAGTCATGCTAGCGATCATTATGTGTCTCCTACATTTTTTGATAACATCACATCATTAAGGCAAGCATGGCGGTTTACATTAATGAACAATATCAACAAACTTCCACATTTACTCCTGCAGATATACTATTACAGTGTACTGATTAATAACTAAGCATAGGCATAAAAGACCCATCTGAAAATAAGGATCTGGTGGCTTTGTTGGCTTTCCTTGGTCGCATTGCCGTAATGTTTACTATTGCTGTGTGTGTCTATAGTAGCAGAAATTACCTACCTGCACGGTCTAAATAATATACACACTGGATACCTGCGTTGTATATAGCTATGTGCATGCTTAATTGTATACCTAAGATGTCTAGATACATGCTAAACCAAATATAAATTTGTATGATGATGATTTTATTAAAACAATATTAATGCTGTATTATTATTTATTATTATTATACTTTGAGAGACGTGACCGATCGCTCAAGCGGTTAACGAGCCGATCAGTGGTGAAAGTTTACTCGTTGCCATGGTAACGGCGTCAATACCGTCGTCAACCAACCAGCAGCTCAAACACGCTTGTTTACTATGACGTCATAGCTATAGTTATTGGCATAATACTTTCCTGATATTTACCAAATATTACAGTAGTTATTATTGGTATAATAATTTTATTAATACCTATAAATTTTTGTTTTATTTTGTATTGGAAAAATTATTAAATAAATATAATATTCTGTAATACACTTGCCGAAAAGATTAATGGTGTTGTGGCGTCTCGCGATGGAGCAGCGAAGGTTCAGCATCCGGTGCTTGTTCCTAGCAGTTTACACACTTCTCATACTGAAGGCCTACTGTACTACACACTGGGTCGTCACCGAAGATGGCAAAATACAAGCGCAAGTACGTTTGATCAGATATCTCGTAGTTTAGTCTGTTACGGTGTGTAAGTGCAACCCATTCTGTAAACAGTAAACTTTAACTTTTCAGTCTAGTGGTTATACTGTACTGGTTAAATTGAATTTGATTCTTTATTTGTAGAGATAAAGAAAAGAATTTTGATAATACGAATTTAAATAGTTTAAATAGATTAAACTTTGGTCAATATTTAGAAAATTACACCAGGCTACTGAATATTGAAAATAGGTTTTTATTAGTGTAAGTCACCGAGTTAAACACAAATATGAACTTCATTGCCGTCGGAAATGAATAATAGTTGAGATATTGGAAGGGTCAAATAATGTAAAAACCTCAAAAAACTAAAAAAAACCTTACCTAACCTACACTCAGCTCCTTGCCTAACCTAACCTAACCTTACCTAACCTACACTCAACTCCTTGCCTAAGCTAACCTAACTCCTACTGTAAGAAACTTACCTTAAGTAAGAGATATAGGAGGATGGTGTGATGTGACTTCAAGGAGGAAGTGGCCGTCAGTGTCTGTCTCTTTATCACAGTACTATGCATGGTGATCTACACGGTATTGACACTCTAAATTACATCTCGGACACTTTACCGATGAAATAAAAATACTGTGTACATTAAAAGGATCTCATCATTCAAAAATTGTGTAAAGGTGTTCATGGTACTAACCTATTAGCTTGAATTTATTTTGGGATTTTTCTTGATATGTATGTAATGGTAGTAATGCATTGGATGCAAGTACAATGGGAAAAAAAATTAATATTTTATGTGAATTTACAAGAATAACATTCAAAATCTCCATCTGAAAAATGTTCAGTTGTATACAATTGAAATGGAGACACTGGGGCAAAATCATTTTGATAAAACTTTACAAAAGGCTCAAATGGTTTGCATTATAGTACTGCACAGACACCACTTTGATATATACATGTTTAATTTACTAAATTTTTTTAGAATAACACACACGATCTGTTTACACTTTTTCAATTTATGTGTGCTTATGTTTGGAATAACGCTGCCATCAACAAACATCATCATTGGGCTGGCAGAGTGGTAGTGTCACATTGCCAGCACCATACGAGAATCTGCGTACCCGTGGTGTCGGTAGGCAGCATCCCACCTTGCAGTCCTCGGTGCGTGGCTCGATTCTATAGTCACAAAGTGCTGCAGCACAGTATACAGTACAGTACTGTATATTGAAAGTATTTTGCCCCTTGCATCATCCACTAGTTTTCTTTAAGTTCTCTTGGTACCAGTGGTGCTAAGAAGTATAAGGACATTACCAATGAGATTAAGATGGATGTGCTCCAACATTATGAAAGGTGAATGAACAGCTAATATTAAGGATGCCTTTGAACTTAGTGAATTTACTTTATGGACTATTCATGATAGTGCAGAGAAGATCAAGGAGAGTGCCAAGAGTGGAATATTAGTCAGTGCATCAAAGACCTCACATACCTGAAGTTCGATTATGGAAATAATGGAACAAATATTGAGCACATGGATTGAACACCAAACTCATGAAAATGTTCCTGTCAGCATGTTTGTGAAACAAGCAAAGACCCATAGTGTTTTATATTTTCTGGTACCTGAATACAGTACTGTAGTTTTACACTAGTATATTGGGTACTGTACTCTCATATTAATAATGAAAACCCCTAATTTCCACTATTTATCATACATTATTTGATTTTCAAGAACATAATTACAGTATTGCATAAATTGGAGGTACCTGTATTTCTAACAGGCCTTAATCCTGTGCTTAGGACTGTACTGTACAAGTTTTACCACATTTTTATTTATTTTTCAGATGGATTCAATATTCCAGTTGCGGAGGCCTTATGATTTTTTGGCATTGGCTCAACAAGAGCAGAGAGCCATGCAAGTTGAGTCATTAAAGAGAGATCTTGTCTCCCAGAAGTCACAGATTGATCGCAATGAAGATAAAGTAAGTTTTGTTAAGGATTCCTATGAAGAATTTCCAAACCTTTACATGCAAAAGACTAACCAAGTTTACAAAGATGTGAACTCTGTTTTCTACTTTATGAGTAGCTTTCTTCTAAGTATTCTTAAGTATAAAGTTTGGCACAGTTTAGAGATATATAGTACTTTCATGTACAGTGCATAATATAGTATAAAGGATTAAGAGTTGTGGTATACATTGGATTTTTTTTTTTTTGCTGAAACTGTAATGATTAGCTAGCTTGCTTTTGTGTACAGTATGTACTCATAATAAGGATTTCTCCCAATTATAGTAGAGTTGGAAAACATAATCCTTGGTTTTGGCTCTTGCTTGGATGGAAATACTCTGACCTTGATCTGTGTATACTTTGGACCCACACTACACTATTAGACCCATTAGCCCAGGGGTTCTCAACCAGGGGGGAATTCAGGTTTTCAGGGGGGGGGGGGAAACTGATTCGGGAGCAAGAGATATGTTCGATGAGAAATCAATCACAGAATTTTGGCCCTTGATGTGCGATTCCTACCCAAAAGTGGCAGAAAGAGCTATCCGTGCATTGCTTCCGTTTGTGTCGACATATCTTTGTGAGTCAGGCTTTTCAACTCTGTTGCAAATTAAAACGAAGCAACGTAGTAGATTAGAGGTAGAAAATGACCTGCGTTGTGCCCTTTCAAGCACTCCTCCGCGTATCCCAGAATTGGCGAAGAAAAAACAATCACAGGTTTCTCATTGACTGTAATCTTCATCTGAATAAAATTAATTACAAATTTACAATATCCTGGTATTCTATTGAACTTTTTGTTTATTGCATTATGCTTCAGTTTGGTCTGTTAAGTAATTCATTATAAATAAAAAAAAACTATTTTACTTTTATTCAAGTTTTATAAATCCATCAACATTTTCAATTGGCATTTAATTTGTAAAACTCCACTATAAAAATAATCCATGTAAAATTGTAAATGTATATGTACTAATATGGGAAAAAAATAAAGGATTTTCAGTTTTATATGCATATTATTTGGAATGCACTTTTTAAGGCAGACAATCTTGGAAAGGAGGGGGGATGACATTCTGACATATGGTGAAAGGGGTGCATGGGGCAAACAAGGTTGAGAACCACTGCAGTAGCCAGTTGGTTGACTTGAGTGTATACAATATTTATTACTGGGTAATCAGTTATTATTTAGAGTAGCTGGTAATTTTTTATTATAATAGTACTGTATTGTAATATACTGTACTGTTTAAGTAGAGACCTTTTGTGGCTGTGGTTCCTTCATTCTTTATTATTACTTTATGTAAAAATTTGTAACTACTTTACATTATGTGTGTACAGTACATATATTTGTTACACAACTTCACTAGTATTTTGCCAGTGCTAATTTTTTTTCACCAGTTAAGTATTTGATAGCTAGTGGCATACAGGTAATGGGTTGAGTGGGCCATCGTATACAGTATGTTACAGTCAGACTGTATTATCAGGTATTTTGGGAAATGTCTGATTTTTTTAGTCAAGTGGCAGAATGAATGTTTCGATTGGGTTAGGTTAGGTCCAAACTTAACCTAACCTAATATAACAAAACGTAACATAATATTATGTAACGTTATATTGTTATGTTAGTTAGGTTAGGACCTAACCTTACCCGATTGAAACATTCATTTCACTCTATGGAGTCCGCAGGTTATGAATGGGTTCCATTCCTGAGGACGTTCTCAAGTCGGATTTGAACGTACTATGTGCACAGCGCACTTACAGAGTAATGTTTAAAATCCCACTATATCATAGTCTAAGTCCTTATATACATCTAAAATCACTTAATTTAAGAGAAAAGAAGAAATAGAATGACAAAATGCAGAAAGTGAAAGTAAAAAATAAGTCATCGGATAAACAAAATAATGTAACATTCAAGTTAAACCCCGTTCGTAATCACAGGCGTATGTTAGTCGGATGTTCGTAAGACGGAGACCCCCTGTAAAAATTTCGCCATTTCATGAAATGCATGATTATATGGTTTGACTGTAACATACACCTGTATATATGAGGTGTATTATGACTACAGTAGTTTGAATTTGAGTATAAAATAACATCTTATGAACTGTTCTCCTTCAGGATACGCAGCTAGAAGAGAGAATATATCGCACAGACTCAGACTGTGTTCTTGCTGGCCGACCACTCACAGAATTTGATTTGTATGCCAGCACTGTGGTCAACATGGAGAGTGCAGGCATTAGGTTTGTATGTGCTATTGGGATGTTAAGAAGTGGTCTTGACCTGGATCACATCTGAATGCACATACAGTATGTACAGTATTTATAGTTTTAACAATTTATGGTTTTATTTGGTTGATATTGATGATAAAAAGTTACTTTATAGTTTGTAAAAATTTGTAGTACTGTATTCACTTTCGTGCTTGAATAAAAGTTAAGGAAATTTCAAGACAGAAATATGATTCAGAATTATGGGAGCAAGAGTTTCAGTGTCAAAAAAAGGGTAAAGAAAACCCTAACTACAGTATCTTGTAAACCACATTCCTTAAGTTAGAAGCCTGCATGGAAGGAACATTTCATATTTTCTTTTTCTAAAACATAATACTTTATGTCTGCAATTAACCTCAAGTCAGTTCAATACTGTACAGGTACTCCTCGACTTACGAACAACTCGACTTACGACTGCTGCAGTCATACTTAAATTTTTTCAAATTATGTATTTTCGAGTCCCGACGTTAGGGATTGCTCTGTGTACTGACAAAATTTTCGTTTGTAATTCCCTTTAAAATGGCTGGCAAGCTTAAAAGCGAGAGTTTTGTGGTGCTGAGAAGAAAAAGACACCCATTTTAGGTTTTCTATGTATTATTTTCAAAATTTTTACTTATGATCAATTCGACTTACGACCTGGATTTGGGTCCCTAACCCCGTCGTAAGTCGGGGACTGCCTGCACTGGGGGTCCCCTGGTTACGAATGGGATCCATTCCTGAGGACGTTCTTAAGTCATATTTGTACAGAAGATGGAATACATGTAATGTGCATACCGTACTTACAGAACAATTTTTAAAATCCCACTATATTATAGCCTAAGTCCTTATATACATCTAAAATCACTTAATTTAAGACAAAAGAAGAAATAGAATGACAAAATGCAGAAAATGAAAGTAAAAAGTAAGTCATCAGGTAAATAAAATAATGTACTGTACTGTAAGTTTCAAGTTTAACCCCCTCTTGTATCTGCAGGCGTTTATAAGTCGGACATCCGTAAGTCGGGGAACCCCAGTACTGAAATGCTTTTCTTGTATTTCTTACATTTATTTTTAAACTTTTTGTCATATAAATATTAACATAACTCCTATTTGTTTATAACTTTATAGGTTGGACGATCATTTTGGCCCACCCCCTGGTGTGTCAGACACTTTGCAGGAGCCTGATTGTGTCTCTTCTTTTGACCTCCCCTTTTCAATGTTTTCCTATGAACATCTTCAGGTGAGTCATCTTTTTATACATTTGCATACATGAAATTAATACTGTTTATTGGTTAAATACTTTTCCATGATATACATCATCTTTATATAATACTTCTTTTGTCGAAAAAATATGAGTACAAAGAAATTAAAAATTAGAAGAGAAAAAGATTATATTAATCTACACCACAAAGATGCCGAAAAACCATCTTATTGAAGAAAGACGGATTGTAAGAGGATGGAAACACAAAAGAAGGCAGAGCATTCCACAGTTTGGCTGTGTGAGGAAAGAAGGATGTATTATAACGGGTTTTTCTAGTGTGACCGACATCCAAACAGAAATGGTGGGCACCTCGGGCAACACGAGTATTACGAGCCCACTGGCTTGCCGGCGCTACACAAGATGCCAAATCCACCGAACATTGCCTGTTTAAGTACCTGTAAAAGGGAGTAAAGCAACATTGCAGTGAAGAGAAAGGGAAGTGAGATTATCAACTAATGTAATGTAGTCATAGTAACCCCTTCACTATGGGGATGCCACTTATGATATTTTATTTGGTTAATGCCAGACGATTTTATTCAGTACAGAGAGACCCTCATACACAAGAGGTTAAGGAAATAGGAAGTGAAAGTTTTATAAAATAATAGTGTGTGCATAGTGTATGATTTGGAAAAAGAGGGAAAGGGCAAAAGTAGATGGAATGATATAGTTGGATGTACAAGTGAGAGGGATAGCAGTGAGTAGTTTTTGGTAATGCCATCACTGTTAGTGAATGGATTCCAGCAAAATAAGAGAAAGTTTGTATTTACTCTTATGTTCCAACCACCATGCAGCATTGCAAGAAAGGGCTTGTCAAGAAAATCCTTCATGAGGTACATTTATTGACCAGCACTGCCATCCATTTGTATATGATTCCATCCCACCCACATTTGTGAGGAGGATTACACAAAAAGAAATATCTTGCATAGATTAGTGAAATTTTCAAGGATTCTCTATACATACCAACACTTGGATTACATGATTAGATAATTAAGAAGTTTGACTAATGGATGCAATCAGTACAGTACTGGTATGTGTTTTACAAACTACTATAACTAGTTCTATTTTTCTTTAGCTACTGAATGTTTTTTCATTCATACATTTTCCTATCTTGATGTAGGGTGGCAGGACATTTATGATCTCCATATTCTTGACAGTTAGTTATTACTGGGTTAATCCACCCTCTTGGCAAGGTACCAATCTACTGATAGGCTGTTTTGTTATGGGTAAATATTGTACACCTGTTAGTGCACAATTTTTTACTGTCGAGTGCACAATCTTTCACTCATGTTTGGAATCAAACCTGTAACAAAAAAATTTGCTTGTGAGGTGAAAGCTGTACCAAGTGAGCATGAGAGTCATTTGTACTGTATATACAGTACAGGTAACTTCTTGAATAATTTCCCCAAATTCCCTTCCCCATTAGGGTATCCGTTTCCGAGACAACCTTACTACAAGTGCAGAAGAGGAGCTATCCACTGTTGGGGGTGAGTCAGATGTATCAGTGTGGGGTCACCGTGTTGCCACAGCTCTCACTGCCAACACCTCTTCTTGGGTTCTCTACACTTTAGCAACACAATATTGGCGAGTAAAGGCTGATCCATTTCAAGCAATTGAATGTGTGCGAAGAGCATTGCACTTTTCACCAAGGTAAGAACACTTTTCTTCATAATGTCAGATTGTATGAAATGCTGTTTAAGATATTCTTGAACACTCTATCAATACAATTATGTTGATTGTATTATTCCACCTGACTGGGAAAGAGTTTGATTGTGAATAATTACAGGGGAAAGCTTTTCTACAAGGATTTGCTGAGGAAGCTTATGGACAATTCTTGGTGACTTTTGTTGCCTTATAATGCTGGTGCTCAAATTTTCCTGTTACGTACATATCTTAAATTTTGTTGACTTACTATTTTCAGAGAAGGAGGATCCTCAGAAACTTTCCTGTTTATTGTAACTTTTGACCATTTCTGTACAATCACAGGCCAAACACTCAGCCTCCCAATTCTAGCTGAAGAATTATTCTTGCTGCTTTAGTTGCTGCATATATGATATAGTGCTTGAACATTCCTTGCACTTTATGGCCAATTTTAATTTCATCATTGCCCTTATTTTTAATTGCAGTAGCATCTCAGAGTATGCGTATCCATAGTATGCAACCCCTTATACATGTCTGACTCCCTGAACTGCCCTTATGCTTGGGCTTATTTCTCACGTGAGCCAACCCACCCAGCATCTCTTGCTAGCTCAGTGTATTTATCACTTGTCTGTGCTCATTGAAACAAAACAAAAAATGCAATACCGGTACTCTCATGTGGATACGAAATAAATAAAATATAATATAAAACTATAAAATAAGAAAAATGTAGAGCCGGAGTGTGTATGTGGAGAACATACACACATGTCTCTGAGTGACTGCACTGCGTTGCATAGCCCAAAGGATAGTTTGAGTGTTTGTACATTAAAAATGTTCTTACGGTACCAAAGCTTTAATATTTGTGTTCGTTTGTACATTTGTGGTGTTTGTATGGTATGATACGTAGGTTAAATTATTGCCAATGTGTCCTCTCTCTCTCTCTCGCAATGGTTCTATGAATATCTCCCAGGCCTTCGTGGTCATGGTGGTGAGAGTGAGAAAAAGGGAAAAAGCCCATATTGTATTTACCTACTAAAGAGTGGCATATCAAACTCTGAAGTTGCGCGGTTGTTACCTTTGTATAAAAAAGAGGTTATACGTAAATACAGTATACAGGGGTAACCCAAATACAGGACAGTACAGTATAAGTGAATTCGCACTTGCATGGGGATTGCATGAGCATAACCCTAGTGTACTCTGGGATCCTGTTGTAATTAGGTCTTAATATAATTTATTATATTGCCAGTAATATTACTAATTAGTTCTCTTGTCAAGAACAGACTCATAAATAAAGTCTTTTAGTGATACAACTTTGTTTCAGGAATTACCGTTACATTCCAAAAGTTCACCTTGGCAATGTTCTGCATCGTGCTAGACGGTCAGATGAAGCTGTTCTGGTTCTTCATGCAGCAATAGACCATTACCGTCATTCTCCAGTGGCACATATAACTCTTGGAAATGTATATGCTACACTTGCCTTTTATAATGTGTAAGTAAAAAAGAAAAGGTAAACATTTTATAGTCTTGCTTACACTTACATACTAATTTTCAATCCTTATACTATGTCCTATCTTAAATTTTTGTAGGGTGTGAATTCAAGATGAGGGGAGCAGATACAGCAGTCATGTTTATAAGTATCAGTAGTACAGTGTATATAACAGTCATGTTGTAAGTGTACATAGAGTGGATACAGAAGTCATGTAAAATGTTTGGGTAATGGATATAACAGTTGTTATGTAAATGCAGGGGGAATGGGCACAACATTCATATTATAATTGTATGTATGTGTGTGTGTGTGTAAAGAAATTTATTGTTTTGATTTCTTCAACAATTAATTAGAGTAGAATTTTTTTATTTATTGTATGTGTTCAATAATTGGAACTGATATAAAATTCTTTTTAGGAACAGTATCTCTTGAAATTTAAAGTTGTTGTTGTAGACATTTATTCTGTTGGTAGGATGTAAAGTTGTTTTGATGGCCCTTGATATTTATGCAGGTGAAATATGGATCTTTGATAAGATGATTATCAATATTATTTTATTTATTTTTATTTTTATGAATGAGTGAAAAGGTGAAGGTGTAGGGAGGTATGTATGCAGAATTAGGGGGGGTTTATGTACAAGGTGGATAAATGACCATCAGTTTTGTAATTTGTAAATCGTTGCCTTTGATCTAACTTCTATATACTGTAGTATTGAAATATTATCTGAAAATAAATATTTCTTACCTCTTTTAATTATTGGTACTGTAGTGCATGAATTTACTGTATATTTAAATATTTTTATTTGAATTAATTGTTTTAGAACAAAAATAGTAATTTTATAATGTACAGTACATGATAAACAGTTTTTGAACACAACATGCAGGAAGGAGTAACATTGAGAGAACATTACATAAACTCTGCTGTGAACATGTATCCAAGAGCTTTTCTGATGGATACAGTCATGTTACCAAATACTGGATAGATTAATATTATAATATCATACCATTTCTTGTTAGTTGCTATTGAAAATTGTATAAATTTATATGATGTAGTTGCTAATGTATAGATACAGCAAGGCTTACTGCCCTTGCTATTTGTGAGTTTTTCTCCTGCCTCAAATTGCCTTATCACTCCCAGCTCCACATCCAATGTTAATGCTTTCTATTCAGTTTTGGCACTTTTATTTTCACTCTGGTGCCTTTTTTCAGACATGTTATTTTTTAATTAAAAGATAATATAATGGGATTTTAATGTAAACAAATACTGTATCATCATATCACAAGCAGATATGATGATTTGGTAAGTAAACATAAATAATTTTGGCCCTTATTTATTATACAGTGGTCCCTCGGTTAACGAACTGTTCGATTAATGAAATTATGGTTAACGAATTACCTCCCATAAGGATCTTCAATTCGGTTATCGAACAAAACTTCAATTTACAAATCCTTACAAAAAAACACGTTTTGTTGTGAGCATCAGCTAATCAGCTGATAGGCTAGTCTGCCAATTCAGTAATCTGTTCTATGTTTACATTCGTTTCCAGTGGAGTAAATATCAAGAAAGTTGTGCTCTAATATTTTGCATTTTTTATATTACAATTATTAGTAATTTTAAAATTTAGTTAACATATTGATAATACTGTATATGCAGTACAGGGAACTAGTATTTTGTGCGCCCATCAGCTGCTTGACTTGGCCACCAGGCGTCAGTTTGGCTTTGTTGACAGTGGAGTGAACATCAATTTTATTGGTGTCTTGAATATTTTTTTCATTTTTACATTAAAATTATTGGTCATTCTGAAATTTAGTTAACATATTGATAATATATAGCGCAGTGCAGTGTTGATTTAAATAAAATAATCTTGAATTACACCTAGTGAACTGAAAATTTTATTGGTGAACTTACTGCATCAAGTATGGGTCCCCTGAAAGGTGATTTCTCCTCCATCCCCACTTCCTTCTCCTCCACCTCCACTTTTAATTCCCATCATCATCATCAACCAGGAACCTCCTACATACACACCTCAAAGTAAGTGTACTATACTGCACTTTTTTTTTTTTTACTTTGTATGCACTTTTCTGTGAGCTGGAACCAATTACCCAATATCCCATTGAAACAATGGATTCAGTTAACGAAATTTTTGGTTAACGAACGACTCTGTGGAACGAATTGTGTTCGTTAACCGAGGGCCCACTGTACTATATTTTGTGTCTCCTTCCTTTGTTATGTTAAACATGAAAAGTAGAGTCTGTATATTAAAAGCTAAACCAAATTATTTAATACTGATAAGGTTATACTGTACAGGGAACTAGACTTAGGCTGTGCAGACTGATGCTTCTCAGAAAATCCAGGAAATTTGAAAACTGACACCTAGTTGGTCTCGAGGGTAACCGGATAAAATTTCCTGTACCAGTATCTTATTACTGTATATGTTTTTAATTCTGTTGGGCAAAACCGTTAAATGTTTTATGTTACATACATATGTAATTATTATAAAGATCATATCTCTACATCCAAATTTTTGCTATCAAATGTCTGATACCCCCAGTATCCTCATCACTCATAATGTACAGTGCTGTACTGTATTAATAAATTACTGATAGAGATGTCTTTAACATTTGTATCAACATAATTGTGCCTTAATCATTTGGCAATTGTTTGTCCTCTCAGATCTGTTTTATGCTTTGAGAATGCCTTGTACATGTCTCCGGGTGACCAGAGTTTACGGCGTAGGAAACACGCGGTTCTTTGTCATTCCAAGCTTGAAGCGGCTTTAGAAAATCAGCATCAGTAAGTATTTCTCCTTAAATATATTGACAATCATATCACTATATTGAAATTATTTATGACTGAACTGTATAGGATTAATGGATATTAACAAGTACTGTATAGACAATTTAAGTTGCATAATATATTGTACACTTTTATGTTTTAATTTTCTGCCAGTGATTCTTACTTTGGTAGCAATGGTGGGTGGGTTCAGAGCTTCCAGGAGTGGGCACAATATGAAAACAAAATTCAAGCTGAAACTGGCCTGTTGTTAAATGTACCCAAACTCAAACCTAACTGTTTATTAATTAAATGTGTTTTGTTAATTGCTATTGACAAATATGCATCACATTAAAAGGAAAGAATAAAAGTAATGAATACATAATTTTTGGTGATGTCAAATGTGGGGCCTCATGCTCCCTACACCCTATTAAATCCATTACTGAATTGACATTTTAATGCTAACCCTCATTCATAAGCACTAAACAGGCATTCACCAACTTAAAAAAGGGTTCTCTTCCTGAAAAACCCTTCATAAATCTTCAGTAAGGACATTTTCCTATAGGTTCCCATAATAACTCTGAGATACTGTACCAAAAAAATTACTTAACATCTTAAAATGCCACACGATGCACAAAATTACTTTTTAATGAAAATTTTTAGTGTACACAATGATTATAAGCCAATGATGAACATATTAAGTAAAATACATGCAAAACTAGATGAGATTGAAAACAGTTAACAGTATGAAAGGCTAAGCCAACATCTATAATATATTGACTGTTATTATATATTGTACTGTAATTTCAGATACATTCTTAAAAAAAACACTCTACTAATGAATTAATTATTGGTTCATCCTAAATTTTTGCAATTTTCATTACATGGTGTGAATGATGTGGACACAGACGCTTAAGCTGTGATAACATTAGTGCAAGCATCGGCCTGAGAGTGCTTTGTACAGTACTCTTTAATTAATATTAGTTTTAAATTACTTTCATAGTGCTCTCAAGCTTAAATTTGCAGTGCAAACAGGAAATGTAAAGTGTTTAAGTGTTAAAGAAAAGATGAAAATTCTGTCAAAACTGGACCAAAAGAGAGTATGAGGAACTGAAAACTCCACATCATTGTGATTTTAGTCATGGATTGGCTTCAAGTGTTTAAAAAATGGTACCTAGAGCCACTGACAAAACTTTGTCAGCCCACAAAGGTGCAAAATGTTAAGTACAGTCTGCCAGCCTGCCTCTCAGCTGTGAACTGAAGCGATGCTCACCCTCCCGTGTTACACTGCCAGCAATTTTCACACCTTCAAACTTTAATTTAATTCAAATTTCCACAGACATTCTCTTAGAACTTTACATTTTTACTGTACAAAACTAAAGAATACAAAATACAGTACTGCACTATAATTTCTCTTTTATACAACACTCTATGTGTGTGTGTGTGTGTAAGTAATGAGTCTGCTTTTCTTCAGGAGAGTTTAGAATTAAATTACTGTATATGGTGATTGGAGGAGAATGTTGACACATTGGAAGCTTATTTGTAGACTTAATAACATTGCGAGGGTTTGAGAATTACGAAAAGTTAGTGAAATAAGTAAGCATACTGGTAGTTAAAAAAAATGCATTATTTTAGTATATTTTCAATATTACTTAGAAATTCATTACAAAAACAATTAAAAAAATTGTGACCTTGTGGTTTTTGTTCATAAATGAAATCATGGGGAAAAAAATTAACTTGGAATTTTCATAAACCAAAGCTTTGTAAATCAGGGACTACCTGTAATTGTTTATGGACAGTTTTGTGTACATTTTCTTTTTATTTTCCCATTATTTCCAGGGAAGCATATAGTCAGTGTTAGTCAGCTGTCTTTCATATTCTTCCCCCCTTTTTTTTTTTTTTACCAAGTGCATCTTGTATTAAATTTAGGACATGTCTAAGATCAGAGTCTGGTTTTAAAGTTATATTATTCAGTTTTCGTTCTTCACAGATCACTTCAGCGTACTTTAGGAGAACTGAGAGACTATCAGAAACGTCATGAAGAATGGTTATCCCTCCAGCAAAAGCTACTACTGGAACAGGCCACTCCAGAGATGAAGCTGGAGTCAAGGTTGGAGTATGAGGAACAAAAAATCAGAGAGAGCACTGATGGGAGAGGTGAGGAGAAATAATAAATACAGTACAAGAGTGTAATGAATCATTGAAAATTGTAAGTGAAGCGGCTAAGAATGTTACAACCCCAAAAAATTATTTGATCATATGATATAAAGGCAAGTGAATTCAAAAGATTTAGAAAATAGTTTGTATATATTTGGCTGTCTTTGGTTACCAATGAAAACACTCCCAAGGTAATAGTAAAGTATTTAGAAGGAAAAACTCTCTTTGTAGCTTCAGTGAAGGTTCTTCATCGTGACACCTTCACATTGCACTTCGTAGGGTTATCCACCATTTATTTTCAAGCTCCATTAATGTCCAGAAAACTTTACTGCTCGTTTTTTACTTTTTCTTGCCTTCCAGCTTACTTTTTCATTCCTTATATGTTTAGTCCTGCACAATAATCTTAGAACACACTTGTGTGCAGATAGTGACACTAGGCATTTATTGTTGTGTTTACTACAAACAGTCGTAAAATTCTGTGAATGGGTCTGGGTTTACTGACTGAGCTGTTCCTGCAACAATCTAGCATCAGACAAAATTACTGCGAATAATAAATCCTCAATAAAAAAACAAAATACTTAAAAAGCTAGAAATACTGTATATCTAGATTTGATAGGACAGAGTGTGTGTGTGCATATATGTGTAGCATAAATTTGCTCCAAGAGTTAACAATCTCCATGATTGTAATCATTTGTTTCATAAATGATGAGACATTATTTGTACTCTATATTAACATACTCTACCAGAATATAGATGTTTGTTGTAATAATGATAGGGTGGATGAGCCAATTGAGTCATTGCCAAATCTATGTTCAACAAAATAATTTCACTGTATCACTATGGTTGACATACCATGGGAACGTGAAATATTAATTAGCGAATAATTAAAAAAAATAAGCATTAAAAGTGGAAATGTCAAAGTCGTTAGTATAAAATCCCTTTGACAACAAAATAAATAAACATCCCACGTGGTGACAGTCATCATATCATGACTGATATTGGCAGGTCTTTTGTCCTCTCTCTTTCTGAAGTTTATACAAATAAATCATGTAACTTGCAATGTAAGAAAACGTCATAAACATATATTATAGGAAGTCCAATTGATGCTCGACAGGAAGTTAGTTGAGAATTTCCTCTAAATGATAGATTATAAGGACCATAAGAGTTTAGTATGTGTTACAGGAACTGCTCAGTCATTAAACCCCAGATTCATTCACAGAATTTTACAACTATTTTTAGTACTATAAACAACAATAAATGCCAGGGGTTGCTATCGGAACATGAGAGTGTCCTAAGATACAGGACTGTACTTCTTACAGTAAGATCCCATATGACATGATTCCAAAGAACCTTTTATCATTATAGCACGCCTCTTAAAATGTAGCCACTTTTCATATCACACAGAAGAATCCCTATACAGTACAGTCATTAGGCGAGTGCACTAAACACATGGGATGGATAGTATGTCTTCAGCCATCCACCTTGGACACTCCCAGGAGGCAGTTACCATGCACCTATCACTTGGCTAGAACTGTGCCACTGTGTTATATGTACAGTGTCATATAATTTCTGTGCTGTGTTTGTGTTTCCTGTTTACCAATTTCGTGTTTGCTAAAATGATTCCCAATTGCCCTAAGCTGCCCACTGACAATACTGCAGCTAGCAAGAAAAATATCAACAAAGAAACTATGATAAAAATCCTTATGTTTACTGCATACCATGGCCAGACACAGCCTTGATCACCATGTGCTTTGAGTGTTTAAAATTTGAATAAACTTTTATTTTTGATTCATGGAGTGTATTAATAGGTGGAAGGGTAACATGAAGGACAAGAGTCATCAACAGCATAAAATTTTACTTTTCTATACAGTACTTAAGTGCAATTTTCTACAACACACCGTTCTTCAGAAATGAAACAAGTGTGTTAAATTGTTGTTAATAGGAGTAAAAGAGTATTTGCAGTACAGTAGTTCCAAACTGAAAAATAGAAGATATTGCATCTTGCACTATATAACTGGCCACAGTTTGCTACTGTATATGTTGTGTTATGTATAGCTTAAATATTTAGTAGATAGGGTAGAAAAGCTATGATCTTGCACTTTTAGATGAGCAGACCTCCTGTGAACAAATGAAGATGATGAGCAACTTAGCCTTTTTGCTGTAAAAGTTTCCATTGTATCTGGTTTCACTCATTCATAATTAATTCACTGCCTTAGTGCACAATACTCAGTGAATTACATCTTTCTGATATGCATTTGATTTCCTCCTGTTAAGTTCCCTCATTGGACTCGGTACTTAGACCCACGCATTTTAGCATTCTTTTGGATTTTGTTTCTTTTTTTATTTTCTTAAGGAAAGATTCCCGCATCTTATATTTCCTACTTTTTATAGACTTTGCTTAATGTATTGAAATATTTTTCTTTTAAATAAACCTGCTTTGATTTAAACTTACAAAGTATTTTTGTTATATTTATCACACTCCAGTAGTACTGTACTGTGTATATATTTTCTGAATCATGATTTCAATAATTCTGCTTAGATCTTGGCTTATAAAACTTCCATTGTATTATCACATTTGTAGTGCATAGTTTAAAATTTTGATCTAGAGCAGTATACCTATCTTTCATCTTTTTGAGTTTAGTTACCAACAGTTTTTCATTTTCTAGAGTAACCTTATGTTGTCAATATGCATTGTAATTACCTGTAGAAATAATCAGTGCATGTCTACATCATATAAAAGAGTTTTTTATGAATGCTCAGTTTACCTGTCCTTATTTCTAACTCTTATTCATCTGTCATCTAACAGATAACCTCTTCCATCTGCCAGGCCAGGACTGTTTCCAGTACCAGCAGGATGGCCATACCTTCCTCAGCTGCAACATGAGGCGGGATCAGCTGGAGCAGCGGGGCTCTCCTTCAGAGCTTTTGCTGGACCTTCAGAGTCTTTTACACACTGTGGAGTCTGAAGCCCTCAGGCTTGGACAACATGTGCTCAAGAGGAAACCACTATTAATGTCACAAGTCCCACAGATAATGCCATTGCACCCAACCAAGACTTATCGGTAAGAAGTAGAAAATTAAGTAACTTAAAGAATATTGCTTCAAGTTGTGCTGAAGTCTTGTTATTCTGATTAAGGGAAGACCTTGATATTTGTGCACTACGTATACATAATCTTCATTAATTATATTTTTACAAAAGACCTATATTACTGTATTCAGTTTATTGACTGAATTTTTTTATTTTTTTATTTTACTCCGGTTTTGTGCTTTCCATTAGTTTTAACCACTTCCCAGATTTTTTCACATAAGAATCAATAAACTGCCAAATAAAAATTACTAGTACCTGTACACCTTAATTTTGTGCTATTAGATAAGTTATGTTCTGCAGTGAGTCTAATAAAACAATTGGTGCAGAGCACTTCCGGCAATGAGAGATTTCTGGGTAACAAGGCGACTCTCTCAAGGGTGGAAAGAATCCCTCCTCCCCGGAATTTTCCGGGTAACAAAATTTTTTTTCGGAATTTCCAGAAAATGCGCCTGATTTTCATCTCTCAAACCCGGAAAAACTCTCCCATCCCCGGAATTTTCCGGGTTTCGGCAAAATTTTCTCAGAAAATCATTCCCAAAGCTGGCTTTGGGACCGATTTTCCAAGAAAATTTCAACTCCCGCTATTGGCGAGTTCCGGGTTTGAGGGAATCCGGCTAACGTAGATATTACTGTATAAAGACCATCCAGCACATACATATATATTCTTCTACCAACTAGCTGTTCGGACTTACTCTTTGTATATATTTCAGAGAAGATATCAGAATTACAGTTTAATTATCATGGAAGCTGTAAAACAAACTGAGCATTTGTTTCACTCTCGGTGATACGTAGTTATTTTATTTTATTCATAATGTTTTGACCTCCCTAATTGAATATGCAGTTTATCATGATTGAAATCGGTATACTGTTTATTTCAAGTTTCTGCACTGTCTTTGAGGTAATTGTACCTTATGATCCACCCCACACAAAGGTAGTAGAAGTGTAAAGATAATAAATTGAACAGAAGCACTGGTTTTCATAAATTTTCCTCAAAAGTAATATTGAAAATTTTGTTCGTTCTGCATGAAAAGTAAACCAAATTTTGTACTCTTTCAATGAGCTGATTCAGCTATTTTTTTTTTTTTTATGAGCAGGTCATTTAATGCATGCTTTTGCACATTTTCAGGCCTATTGGAGTGCTGCAAATATTTATTGAAGAATTCTATTGCTAGGAGTGTCTTGTTCGAGAGGTTATGGCATTATATACAGTAATGGCTAAAAATCCACTGCGAGAGTATATGGTGAAGGAAGTTAATTTGAAAAGTAGGGATTCATCAAGGGTCTGCCTTGAGCACTCTTCTGTTTATCATGGTCCACAAGGCAGTATCACAGAACTTTAGGAGTGGTGTGCCCTGGGAGTTGCATGTTGATGACTTAGTGCTGATAGCAGATAACTTTAAAGAGGCAGTGGAGAAATTTAAGAGGTGGAAGGTTGGACTAGAGCACTAGACCCAAAAGACTTGAGAGTGAATATGACAAAAACAAAAGTACTGTACAGGCATTACCTTTTGTAAATCATTTCACATTTTACCCTAAATTTCTGTTATAAAAGCCGAGGTACATAACTATAAAATATGTAACCCCCAAACATTTTAAAAGGCTACAAAACATGATTTTAATAATAACTTTTGGTGTACACAATGATTACTGTATAATCCAATTGATGTACCTGCAGTTCAGTACAGAAGAGTAATAATTTTATACCTGAGCAGTATGAAATGTTAGGTCAATATCTATGATAAATATATTACTGTAGTACAGTAATACAGTAAAACCTCGGTTATCCGGAGTCCAGGTAACCGGCCTCCAAAATGAAATAATAAAATAAAAATTCTTCCAAAATCAGCTAGAATCATAAGTTGGAATACTGTGCATAATGGGGATGAGCTGCCATATTCATTGCTATGATGAACGATAAAATTGAGACATAGCATATCATAAATTACAACAGCACATATATATTTTTTTAAATAGTCCTTCCACACTAAACCACCCTCTGACTGACAGACGTGTGGCTGCTGCGCTGTATATATGCCAAGACGTCACATCGAGAGGGATCACGGTCACGCAGTCATAGCCCACTGGCTCCACACACGTTTACTTCCCGCACATACATACGTTCCCTGACAGTTGGTGACCCACATATATCACTGAAAAACTGATTCCTACACTAATAATATACCTACAACACAATTAAATGACACTCACCGCATCATTAAGAACAAGTCTGGTCATCATTACATGTCCCCTTCTAGACCAAGGGGACTCTTGAAGGTGGAGTAGAGATGTCACTCTGACTCCCACACAGCCTCTGGGGAGTATCAATATCAAGCTTCACCTCAAGAGACATGGTTTTTCTGGGTGCCTTGGCCTTCCCAGACATTTTCAAAGTTACAGTCACAAAACAGAGTGATAGCACTTGTCACAAAAACCGAGTGAATGATGATAACGTAATTGTGACCAACATTACTCACATCATGTTCACAACAACAGGAGCAAAGTACTTTATAGTCACAAAAAATAGCAAAAATCACTTAACAATCACCAAAACAGAGTACAATGTGAATGTTAGTGATGTCCTCTGACTGTAAGGTACAAGAAACAAAAAAACACCGATGATAAGTAGCTAACAACACTGATACTAACCGATAATCATTGCACTGCACAATCAGGGCCATGTGCGATCACCATGGAACAAAGCTTGGTACTGTAGTGCACCAGATGGCTGTATAACAGTGCACGGGTAGACCACAGCTGACAAATGAACCGAGAGATGTGTCCGCATTGGCCGTATGATGACCAATATCATACGGATTGTTTATATCATAAATAGGGGGGTGGTCTTAATACATCACCATCATTAAAGCGGAATATCATAGAGAGGTGGACACAGTACCTGTATTGTAATGATTTTTCCACCACTTTTATTGTTTTATTAGATGTAACATGTATACAAGTCAGCTGGGCTGGCAAGTCGGCCACGCCGTTATAACCGACTGCCTCCACACACATTCACTTCCCACACACACACACCCACCCACCCATGCTCTTCACTTTTCTTATTTTATATTTTTATATTATATTTTCATTACTTCTAAGGCATATCATTTATATATAGTGGAAAAAGAGTTAAAACAGTCTCTTTGTCTGAGACATGAATTTTGGAGGGTAGACTGTAGCACTGTGCATTGTAGGATTTATTGGGGGATCCTAAGAATGAGGTTCAACTTACCAAAAAATGTCTTTATCTGGCATTTCTCAATCCCTGTAGGTGCTGGATAACTGGGGTTCTACTATATATTGATTTTCATTCTATAACCGGAGATAAGTTCTCTTCAAAATATACCATGCTTGACTTCTGATGAATTATTACATCATCCTAAATTCCTGCTGTTTTGTTTACATGCTGTAGATACTGCCATCAATCAGTGAAGTTGCATTCATGCTCTCTCATGCATTGCCAAAACTATCCACATCTTCAAACTTTTGTTCACTTCCTAATTTTACCTATATTCTCTTATACAGTATAACCCCGCTTTACGCGGTTTCACTTTCCGCGATTTCTCATTTACGCGGTGCCTCGCCAGAACCGAACTTTCACTTTCCGCGGTGCATCTACTCATATACATGGGAAGCGGCGTGGGCAGGATGCGCACAAGGTCACCCAGTCATCAAAACATTACCGAGTTCTTCACCCGCCACCCACCACAGCCGGCCTAAGTCAGTGATAGTGATAGTGAGGATATGGACTTATATGGACTTTGAGGGGTTTGACAAAGAGGCCCTGCAAGCCTATGTGGTGGATAGTGATACAATTGATACAAGTGATACAGGTGAGGGCCAATAATCTGCCCTCTGCCTCGGAACCAACCCCCCATCCCTGTGTGCCCAGCCATCTTTTCTACTAATGTAAGTGTTAAAAAACTAATATTATTGATATTTCTCTTAATTATTAATTGTGTGTGCATACCATCATAAAATTAAGATGTAATTTTTACTACAACATAGGCATTGTGTCTGAAAAATTGGAGTTTGGGGGTCGGGCCAGTCTCTATTGGAATTAATCCCATATGTTCTGTTGTTCACTTTACGCGGTTTTCACTTTCCGCGGTTCCCCATGGGTTCAATTGACCGCGTAAATCTGGGTACTACTGTAATCATTATAATCATCTTCATTATCACAGTTTTGCGGCTATAAGTTGCAGTTAACTGATGGCAGCTCTCCATGCTGCACAGTCTCCTGAAGCCTCTCTCTCGTCAGGTTCCCAACTCTAATGTCATTTCTTACAACCTCTCTCCATGTCATTCTTGGGCTACCCCTAACCCTCTTTCCTGCCACAATTAGGCTCATGCACCTCTGAGCCCAATTTGTCTCATCCATTCTCTCCACAAGCCCAAACCATCTCAGCTTGCTTCTGTGCAGGATTTCACCAATACTCACAATACTCAGCTGCCTTCTTAGCTCTGAACAGGGTCTCCTGTTTTTCAGTGTCACATAACACATCCACCTCACCTTTCTCATTTCAGCTCGCTCAAGTCTAGTTACTTCATACAACATCACGCTTTTCACACCAACTACTTACAATCTTTCTTTCACTCAGAGTGAAGGTCCTCTTACTGTCAATAAAGGCAGCATCTCCCCAAACTTCCTCAACCTACTTCTGACTCTTGCAACTGAGCAGACTTCAGCACCCCCAATGGCACTGATCATGACACCCAGATAACAGAACTCATCAACACAGTCCACGGACATATCTCCAATGTTGAGTTTCTACAGCTTTGCTCTGGGCACATTGTGACATGCACATACAGAGCACTAAGTCAGCAACATCCTGCAGTCTACCATCTACTCCACTGCACCTCTTATGTACACACCTTCCACACTCAATGCACATTACTGAGCTGCTGCCAACGCCTTTCTTACAGAAAACACATGGCCATTTTCCAGTTTCCACCATGGGTCACTACACCTTTATCATACTGTATAGTCATAAATAAAAGTCCTGTCGCCACTCCTGCTGTTCCATGAATCCCGAGATTCTGACTTAAGAACCCGAAGCCGTAAAAATTGATGCAAGTCTGAATCTATGGGTTGTGGAGCCGAAGGGGAGGCATTTGGAGAGAATGGAGGAGGCGAACTGGGTCTAGAGATCCATGAGTAAATTTGGAACAGGAGGAGAGCTAGTGGTAGGCCAAGAATGACATGGGGAGAGTTTGTAAAAAATGACAATAGAATTAAGAAGTTGATGAGAGAAGCTACAAAAGTCTGCACAGCATGGAGAGTTGCCATCAGGTAATTGTGGCTAACCCACACAAACTTGGAAAATGGCAGTAAAATATTGATGATGATAACGACTCAATTTCATAGAATTAACATAATTCTCCAATACCTACTATAGCATCTTTACTTTAGAGACGAGGAAAATTAAAAAGGAATTTCTTAAGAAATAAAATAATAATAAAGCTATAATTTGAATAGTAAAAGTAATGATTCAAGAGTGGATTGAGAGATGGAAAAAATAGGACTACCTGTACAGGAAAACCTCATTAATTATCTTCTTTATTCCATATTTTAGAAATCTCCTATTTTTTTTTATCTCTGTATATACTGTATGCTGATGTACAGAAAATCAACAAAACATATGGCTTAACACTGACCACTTGGTGTACACAGAGTTGGACTATTTTGCTCCTACCAATTTCAAATGAAAGCATCCACTGATTCTCTAAAAATACTCCACCTACTGTATTAGCATTCCCTATTCTCTGAAAATACTGTATGCACTGTATTATGATTGGCTCTATGCCCATTCTTCTTTTGCTAGTTTTCCTTACAAATTTGTATAGTTAACCCCTATTAAACCAGATTATAGGTACTGGTAATTGAGGGGAAAGGAGTCCTGATTTTACAATTACAGTACAGAATCTCTAATTGAAAAGCTTACAAACCAGAATTGTCCAAAAACTGCTAAATTCATAAAATAAACCTATGCTAAAACATAGATGAATAACCACTTTCTTTACGAGTCATGTTATCGGGTAGACTCAGCAGTGTGTAGTCATGTTTAGTTCATTCTTAGATTCTAATATGCTTGTTCAAAAGGCCAGCCAGATGTTTGCAGTGTGAATAAAGTAAAAAATTGAAGATCAGAATAAACAAGTATATAGTTTAGATGTGGTTGGAATGTAGGTAAGAAATTAGATAAGATTTGGATGAGTTGCAGGTACCATACCGTCCATTTGAGGTAGAATGTTCAAGATGTATCTCAACCACGCTGTTATTGCACCAAAATTACCATAACCTTATTGTATTGTTACCAGTTTTGGCTTACATTCCTAGCAGTTATATTTTATGACATTTTTCTCACATAAATGGCACTTCAGTACAGTATACATGGGGCTCCCGGGTTTGGAAAAATAGCGGAAAATATTCCTTCCACTAAATCGAGAATTAATTATATCGGACTCCGTTAAATCGAGAGTACTGTATATACAGTACTGTATCTGAACTTTCCATAAAAGTGTTTTTCATTGCACAAAATAAACTTATTTATAAATACTAAGCATACCATTACAGGTACAGTATATTAAATATGAAAAAAAAAACTATTTTTGGTTTATCAGCAATATGTTTATCTCTATGCAATCATTTTATTCGTGCACCTGCATTTGTTAATAGAGAATATAAACAATAAAAAAAATTTTTTAGTGCCATACTACACAAGCTGTTGAGTGTGGTGTATGCTGAATGTGGGTAACCAAAGAACTGCATGCAGCAACCCCCAGAGTGAGCCACGTCCCACATGAACATGTGACAATCACATACAGCAGTCCGGTAGACTGGGTCAATATGTGTTTTCATTATAAATTTTTTTTATGGGTACATTCAAAATGGACCATGTGGGTTCATAATGAACTGACTTAAGTAGACCAAAAGCACAAACAGGCCAGAAAATTCTCACATAGTTTATCCAGATTTCTGGTTTAAAAAATCTTGATGAATGAAGGTTTGGTCATCAAGCAGCTAAGTTTTTTTTACATATTCTTCACAGGAATGGTGGTGCTCCAGGTGTACTAGATATGACGTTAGGTGAGGGCTTCCCAACGGCAGAACAATGTGAAAAAGCTCCTCTCTTGCCACAGTGGGATGATTTTCCCTCTGTGTTCCTTCCAGCGGAAAATAAAGGATTCTCGTAAGATATCTTTTTTGTTCCTAATATTTCTTGCTAATATTACCAGTACATATATTGCTTGTTGCATGTACCAAGACAACCTTCACTCATCTTCAAACACCTTCCATAGCTATATGCAAGTGCTGAAGGCCCAGCAGGAAGCCATGTAATATGGATTTGGAAATCATAGTAAGCCACCAAATTTCATGTTAACTTGGTTGAAGACAAGAGTGTTTATGAATTTTTAAATACCGTATTTTTACTTAAATTTAACAATTCTTTTTTACTACCTACATTTATCTTTTTATTGTACACAATCACCAAAAACTTCTCAATCGCTATAAGCACTATGCAATCTGAAAAATTAACGAAGAATCTGAAGCCATTCCGAGATGACAAGCCCCATTCTGCTCATTCTCACATCCGTCAAGGCCAAGTGTTAGAGAAGTTTTTGTTGAGAGTGTACATTGCATGTAAATATGCTTTATGATATACAGTGGCATTTATAGAAAAAAAAGACACTTGGTAGATAGATACGGTAAGTAAAATATAAAGTATAATACAGTATTGCACATGCATGAAGGTAATGGGAAAATTTGGGATGTTAAGACTTTTCATAGAGACTTGCTCTAAGAGTTTGTTGTTAAGTAAAAGTGAAAGGATGATAAAGAGTTTAAAGAGATTGTTTGTGGATGACAGTGAATGAAGGGATTTAGTGCAGTATATGCATATTTCCTCAGGAATCCAATCTCTACATTAAGCAGGAAACAGTTTAAAAAAAATACCTGTAATAATACAGGGAATGTTTGAATGTTAAATAAAATTGGAGGATAAGATGACTTCTGAGAGTATAGAAGTCCTGAGTAAAAATGTGTTTTTTATTTTGAAACTTAAAAAATGTCTTTCCTTCATCACTTATTTACCTACTTATAATGTTAGTTGTTTCAAGTACAGTACAGTAATTATTTTTTTTTACAGATTACAGTATATGAAAAGTGAAGTGCTAAATTATTCTCATATGATTAATAATTGTAGTAAAATTCATCATTTATTATTTAATTCTGCACATTTTCTTTATAGTGTAGATCGTTTCCTAAGTGATGACATTGATGTAAGCTTCAGTGAGGAACACCCTTTACCCTGGCATCCACCCATTTGTGAGAGACTGGCAGATACAGTTGAGGGGATCGATGACATCCCTGGTATCAAGGAGCGTCACACACTCACAACACGGAATCGCGACCCTCATGCTGTTCCATACTTAATGAAGTATGGGTATCAAGGTGTGGAGGCTGAAATCGGACAGCGTATCAGCAGTGCCATGAAAAGGGTAAAATTAAAGGAGTTTTAATTGTATTTGTCATGCTGTGGTAGTTACTGGTCACTCTTAAAGATGGAGTGTTGAAAATACTAATCATATACTGTACCATGAAACCTGGTTGGGAATGCTGAATATACTTGGCTCTTTGATTTGCTTGGCTGGTGTATACAGTATACATTAATCTCTCCATTAGTCAGAATAAATGGTGCCAAGCAGTTCTGGGTTTGAGAGATTTCCAGGTACACTACTGATACAAATTTTCTCATCCCTGGAAAAAACTACATATCCCATTCCACGGAATTTCTCCGGGCACTGGTGAATGCTTTCATACCAGACTAGTGCAACAGATTTGAATAATAGCTATTGTATTTATGTCCAATTGTAGCTTCAGTAGAAAATTTTTTGAATCTTCATTTATTACTTCTACACCTAACTTTAACTTGGCATATGGTTAGTAAACCCCAGACCTGATCCTAAATACTGTACTGATATCAATTAGATTATCTGTAATCCCCCAACCTTCAGATTTTTCAGTAATTCAAGTGTCTCACAACCCCGTGTGTGTGTGTGTTTGTGTACATAAACACACACGGAAATACAGCTCCTCCCCGACTTACGACGGGGATAGGGACCCAAATCCAGGTCGTAAGTCGAAAATGCTTAAATAATACATAGAAAATCTAAAATGGGTGTCTCTTTTTCTTCTCAGCCCCACAAATCTCACTTTTAAGCTTGCCAGCCATTTTAAAGTGAATTACAAACTAAAATTTTGTCTGTGTACTGACGTTGGGACTCAAAAAAACATAATTTGACAAAATTTTGGTACGACTGAGGCAGGTTGTAAGTGCGGGTGGTCGTAAGTCGAGTAAGTCGTAAGTCGGGTAGGAGCTGTACTCCGGTCAAGGTACGCATTCCTAAATGCCATTGCGAATATCGGGGGAATTTTCCCCGTACGAATTAATGTAAATGGGAGTGGACATTTTCTTTTCATATTATTTTTTGGCATAAAAATTATTGGATTTTTTTGTATAATATATTTGGTACATATAGATGCATGCATGCATAAACACATACAGTACAAACATACAAATATGTATATCAAGATATACCTTCGTATAGAAATTTTACAAACTATTCCATAATTACAGGGTGTTGGACCCCAGTGGCTACTTTATAACTTAGCGGGTCTGTATTGGCGAGTTCATGGTAATCTCTATAATGGAGTGGAGTGTTTACGCCGTGCAGTAGCAACGGCACCAGATGAGTGGCGAGATGTTCCTCTGGTCAACATAGCAGCATTGCTTTACACTGCTGGGCACATTGATGATGCTCTTACACTAACCCTCCAGGCAACGCAAGTAGCTGATCATGAAGTAAGTTTTCTACTAGATTTTATTTTAGACATATGTGACTTTGATGAACATGGACCAGGACAACAATTTAATAATTACAAAGAAGTACTGTTAGAGGCTAGGGAAATACATATAGGACATAGGAGGAATGAGGCTAAAAGTAAGTGGATGACAAATGAAATTTTAAAGAAAATTATAAAGAAATATGAGAAAGCGAAGTGAGGTTTGCATAAAAATAAACAAAGAAATTCAAATGGGCAGAGTACAAAGACCTATACAATGATAAAGATAGAGTAGAGGTAAGAAACGAAAAGGAAATAAAGATCAAATTGCCTACTCTTGAAACAGAAGTTGAGGCAGCTGGGAGGAAAATGAAAAAGATAAAGCTTGTGGGGTTGATAGCTTCCAGCAGAATTTATAAACCAAATGGGAAAGAAGGGGATAAAATGTTTGACTGATGCAGTGTTTTAGTTCTGTACTTGTTACAGTTCATGAATTTTTACTGCATGGTGGCTATAGGTAAATCAGAAATGAATGCAGTCGAAAAAAATTACTGTATCTTATGGTATTGTTTTCGAGCAAAATTTCCAGGGTACTGTATATTGCATGGATAATGTGACATAATAGAGAATTCCATACTATCTTAGTGGGAAAAAATATAAATAATTGTACTTGGAAGTTTTTTTATGTTATTTTTTTTTTTGGATGATATTTGCAGTGCAGGTATTATCTACTGTACTGAATGTTAAAATTCTAAGTTTTGATAATAAGCATAATAATGATCTTTTTCTTTCTCAGCCTGAAACTAATTTCCTGTTAGCCAATTTATACTGTGGAAAGGGGAACTTGACTGGTGCATGGCATCATTATGAGCGTGTTTTAGCTGCCTCACCCAATCATTCATCTGCTCTTCAATACCTCACTGCCCTTGCCTGTCACACTCGACCTCCACACTCCATACGCCCTTTGCCCACATGCCAAAACCAGGTAAGGTGATTATTTTTTTACGGCAAGTTAAATTTTTTTTGCCTATTAAGATACTGTATTGCCTTTCTTCACCAAACAGCAGGGTGCATAATGCTGAGCCTTCTCTACAAATTGCAAGTTTCATGGAATTCTGTTCACTCTGTCCACATTAGTGCAGTATTTACTTTGTCAGTCTTTCTTTAAGTTACTACAGTACTGTACTGTCCTCAGTAGTTTTTCTTCCATATCATTTTAACTACTTGGTACTTAAAATCCTGATTGTTCACAGGGTTACCCTGTACTTTCTTGGGACATCAGTTTACAACTGAATTTCATTATTAAACCCTTAAGACATAATTCTACATTTAATAATTAAATAGTAAAAATAAAATACTATTTGAGGGAGGAGGCACACTACACCCCACCCCACACTCATACACCCAGCAGTGTATCAGCAGTGTGTGTCTATTAAGTACTGTATAACCAGTGACTTGAATACCAGTTATCCCTTCCTTTACCCTTCTCAGTACACGCAAGGATCAGAAATATTTTTGTCTTTGTCCATTTCTCTCTCTCACCCAAATTCTACTCTAAGCATTTATATATAATGGACTAGTCTCACAGAAGACATTCCATTGACTGAGGCTCTTTAGTGTGGGTCAACTCAGTCTTTGATTCTTTGGTAAGGGCGGTTAGTCATTAACCTTTAACCAAAACTTTGAATGTTCACAATGCATTGGCCATTTGTTTTAAATTGAACTTGTTTGCCACTTATCGTATATGCCAAGCTTGCCAATGTGGGAAATATATTATAATTCATTGTTAAACTAACTTGATACCATTCTTACTGAACTGTTGTTCTTGTCAGGGTATTGATGATGTGTACTTTTCAGGGTGGGGTAGAGGAAGGAGTATGTACAACTGATGGTGGCTGCCAGGACTTAGCAGGTATTGCATCTAATGAAGAGAAAAGTAAGTTTTGTGGTACCGATACACATTTTTAGAAGTAATTATTTTGCCAAAGGACTAAAATTCTCAAGTTATTTCACTTAAAAAAAAAAATACTTACTGCACTGAATATGATTTGTACCTATTGTAATGTACTTTGACAGATGATGTAGAAGAAGTGATCAACTTAGATATTGAAAATGAAACTGAGGAGGAAACAGAAGAGGAAATATCTTCAACTCCACCACCAGAAGTAACAGAAGAAGAAAGCACAAAAGAGATTAGTGATCCACAGGGACCTGAAGCAAAGGTAAATAGTATTAATTTCATAAAATGGTTGTTGCATCTTTCATTCTTTGCCAGTTTTGTGTTCCCATTCACATTAATTCTTTCTTTGCTCTGAATTTTCTCCACAGCCACACTATACTGTACTCCCTCAATTCACATGTTTTCCTCTCATTACTAAACACTGTACACTATAGTTTCAAGCACCATAACTCTGGAATGTAATGACAAAAAAAGGCCGATTATAGATAGTATATTATCCATGTGATAACTACATACTAAGTTTATCAAAATCCATTTCTGCTATTTGTTTGGGTTATTGTGTTCATAGCTGTTGGCATCCCTTTCTAGAGACAGCAATAAAGTGAACACCTTAGTGATGATTCACTTTAGTTTCTATTAAATGAAATTTAAAGTTGGTTTGGAGTGCAGTGATCTTATCAGTATCAAGAGGACAGCATTACCTCTCTATACCAAAATTCACTATGCTGTATACCAAACTGCTCCTCAGATTCCAATATTAACTCTCTACTATACCGAACGAATTCACTCTACTGTACAGCATACTGAACCTCTACCAAACCCCTCCTCAAATATCTCAAATGCTATATTGAAATTTAATACAGTGATATTAATAAATAAAAATGATAAAAATGACAATGACTTTACTTTACCCTCTTGGGTACTGGAAATCTTGGTTTTTGTTCCCACTGGTTTGTGCCCTTTATGCACGGAGATTTTTTCTTCCGCAAGCACCAGTATCCAGACCAAGGAGTTGTTATTTTTGCATCAATTTGATACATTTTGCATCAGAATAGCTTGGGCTTTCATATAAGTTAAAAAAAGAAAACAAACTATAAAACACTGATTTTATACTCCGAATGAAAAAAAAATTAAGCTGAAACTTAATTTAACATGATAACTTTTCAAGTTGAAAGGCTGATTTTTTCTTGTAACTTGTTATTTCTACATATCATTACATGTTACTGTTGTACACTGTGGAATGTGTTCAACCTACAAGGATTCCTTAATTACTTGCATCATCTAGGCTTTGCTGATACTAACTTGCAACATTTTTCTTTTCCATTTTGCCAGAATTCTTATAATTATTTTTATTGGCATTGATCTTTTAGACAGATTTTGAAAGTTTGTGCTTATAACTTTGTTTTGACATCGACAATTAAATTATGAATACCAATTTATTCACCGATGCTTTCTGGGTTTCCTTACAGCTTGGATTACCTAATAAGCAAATTCATGTCCGCATTGGTCTGGGTGCTGAAGATTCAACTGCAACTTATACTACTGCCGATGTTGAGGGATCCACAAACCCAGACACTCCAGTCATAGAGGATGACCCATTACCAGATGTTCTTCTACGGGTGAGAGAGAGAGTAGCCTCCCCCCCTCCACCACCTCATGTTTGTGATCGTGCTAATAAACTGAGCGACGTCAAACATTTCACATCCACTTGGCTCTCTGTTTCAGCAAAGAATATAGAGTAAGTTGATCGATCAATGTACAGTACAGTAGTAGAAATTGACCCATTGACAAGATGTCCCTTGATAAACTTAGTTATTGTATACATTGCCTTCACTTCTCGTTAATTTGATATTTCAGTGATATAAAACAATATACAGTACAGGTATCCCTTATTTAATGATGGAGTTGCACTCCTGAAAAACGTAACATTAAGTGAAATTCTCGCTAAACGAGAGATAACAGCAATAATAATTTTTTATTAACAAATGCCTTTCATATTGTTCTAAAAATAGAGTAACTTCTAAACAAAGAAATAAGCCAAACGCAGAATATTCTATTCTAGCAGTAAGTGTTACCGGCTTGTGTTGCTGTATCATCAAAGACTGGCTGTCTTTTATTTTTTCCTGCGTGCATTTGCTTTGTCTTTCAAACATGGGATTATGATATAGGCTCTTAACTGTGTAGAATTCAGACAGCTAGTAACAAACAAGGTTTTTTCATGTTAAATTCTTAGACTGAATTCAGTAACCCTTCTACTGAAGTTCAGGCTGATATAACAGTACAGTAATACAGTTCTGTTCTTCCCTCCATCTATCTATCTGAGTTTGTAGCTTGTAATGGTAATTACAAATATTTTTAACATTTATATAATATTTATAGTGATTTTATTATCTTTTCTTGGACATTCATTTGCATACCATTCTCCTAGTACAATGAAGTGAATAATTTTTTTTTATGCAACATCAGTATTGACTGAAATGAGCTGTTTATGCAACTCATGAAAGTACAAAGAACACTGAGGGTGTGTGTGTGTGGCCTCCTGACCCTCACACACTCCCTCCCTTCCCATAGAAGAAAACAGGAAGCTGTGGCATGCAGTTGAAGATGTGAGATGAAACTTTTGTCAAATAAATTTTATTTTGATGAACTTTTTAATACATTTACAAAGTTTTCTTATTGGTTTGTTCATATAATTTTGGGGGATGATTAAAATTTGGTCAACAGTTCATTAAAGTTTTCAGCTTTAAATTTTTAGCCAAAGGGAGGTGTTCAGCATTAAATACTGTACGCACTTCCAGTACAGATACAAGATTATGACTAGATTGAAGGAGAAGTGTAAACATATACAGTAGCACTACCTGGGTGTCTTCATGATTCAACATGTGTGATTCATTGAACAAGTTCTGTAAATGCTTGTTTGTATTTAAATTCTAATACAAATTGAAAATCTACACTATTGTAATTATTGGAAAAGGTGTGCTGATTAATATCTTCACAATTTTTAAAACATAAATGTGAGAATACTTCTTTTGCAAGGAGCTATTAGCAAACACCATTTTGAATTTTTAAGATTTTCTATAAGAAAAATGATATCCACATAAAATATGCAAATTTTTATATATTTTTTGTTTCTCCACAGTATATCTGAATATCTTGTGGCGAGTCCTGCAGTGGGTACCCCACTAGAGGAGCCTATATGTAGAGGAGATTTGCCAGCCTCCATGCACACCCTCGATCATTTAGCGGGTATTAGACATCGTCAGCTCCTTCCCCACTTCCCTGAAATGGGTCTGCGGGAAGCTTTACAGACTCTCACAGACCGGACTCCTGTGTCTGTTGATTTGATGGCAACAAGAATTGCGAGATCACTTCAAAAGGTAACTTCTTTGTTAAAGCTTTTCACAAAGAATTTTTCTGTGGCTACTGGCTTATTTGAATTCCTTATTTATGGCTTATGACTCGCTCACAAGTAACCTATAAGGTTTACCACCCCTAAGTGCCCACTAGCAAAGCATGTCATTCCTAAGAAGCTTGCCTTGCTTAGCAGCTGACCTGGACACATCGCCCACATCTCATCCTCTCAAATTTGGATATGAACCCTTTATCTGGTGGTTACCTTAATAGACCAGTGAAGCTGTAGGTTAGGAGGTAAAACAGTCAGTGAGAGTCACAAATTTCTAACCTCCACAACCATAAAAAGGTTTACATACCTCCTCCTATTCAGTTCCTTTGGCTAAGTCATTCTGTTAACACCTTCTTAGATCCCAAGTTGAATTACCAAATAGATAAGTCTTCCTATTACTCTTATTGTATCTTCATATACATTGCTGTTTGGCATAGGTTTGTGCCATACACTCTAAATAGCATTTGACATTTGGATATTTAAGGGGAGTGATGTTTCGTGAATTATTGAAAGCACTCAGTAAATGAAATTGACTTTTCTTACAGATCTAAGTGATTCCAATGCTCACTATTAGCTCAGCTCCTCAATTGTGTAAATTGAAATAAGAAATTAGCAATAGCTTCTGCCATTGTGTAGTAATTCACCCAATATTTATGAGATTATGTAAAATCAGGAATATATTATGTGCCATCATTTTTTCCATTGGCAAAATTTTGAGAAATCTTTTGAAGGAACTTGCCACATGACTTAGCTACCAGGGATTATAGAATGAATATAAAACACTAATTTCAGACAACAGATGCAGTTACTCAGATGCCCCTTAACACCATAAAAGCAGAACAGTAAAAACATTGTAAGCTGTAATATCTCTTAAGGTAATTTTTTTTTCGGTTGCTGCTTAAAGAATAGAACAAGACTATTAATGATGAAAAGTCAGATTTTGTGGTTCTGTAAAAGTATTGCTCCCTCCCATGCCTTCCTTCATTACATTACTGTCTCTCACAGGAAAAGTAAAACCCTACATCTGATTTTTTTAGCCTTGGTCGCCAGCTCTGTTGCAACCTATCTTGACTGACTGACTGTCTATGCGAAAAAATCTGGTCTGCAGACTCACTGGATCTGCCTTATTTTACTTATATAAATCACTAGACTAGAGCATGAAAAAAAAGACTGTAAAGTACTATAGAAGTGAATCTACTAGAAAATAATATTTTTTTATTAACTCCTTCACTATATGGACACCACTTTTAAAATTTCATATAGCTAATGCCATATGATTCTATTCAATTTAGAGGCAGCACTGTACACAAGGGATTAATGAGAAGTAGGTTATAGGATGTAGGAAAAACATTACGGGGGAGAGAAAGCCATTGCTTCGTTATGGAGGGAGAAAAGGAACCATCATAATACAATACTGTATCCTCAAGCAGTGAGTTATGTGTCACAGTACCTATCTTAAGAATTGGCATACAGGCACACACACCCCAAAAACAGTGACTGAAATATAGTAGTAAATTAAAAGAAATATGAGAAACATTGTGGTGAAGAGAAAGAGCTGATAGAGATATGGTGATTGTAGGAAAATCAATTAAGTGGAATGCTTTTAGCTCCAACCTTTGAACAGTTGAAGAACTGTACCAAGCATATGACAATTATTCCATGCAAGGTGTATCTGGCCATTCTGCATATGAAGGAGCTGTTTTGGTGAAAAATGTTTGTGGCCCTTCCACAGCAACCCCAGGTTTTGTTTAGCAGATTTTGCTAATGTAAGTGTTCTAGGATGGAGTAAAAGTAATTGTGAAACTTAATTTCTTATTATTATTCCTTAGCTGAATGTGTGTGTTTTGGAAATTAATGAATGGGAAAATATGAATTTTACAAAAAAAAAAAAATTACAAATTCAGTTTTGGAACAGTTACACAAACTAAGTTTTTTGCTTTCTCGGCAAGAGATGCTGAACAAGTCAATTTAAAACAAGGAGGCTCACTTTGTTTTACTCATCATCAGTTGAAGATTAATGCAGGTGTTTAGTGTTTACTGAGGCATGGTGGTTCTGCACTGCTCTGTTAATTAGTGATTGAAATTGGATCAGCAGTTTAAATTAACATTAAATGAACCCCACAGAATGAAACTTCATGGGTAGTTGCAACAGCAGCAGCTTTATACTGGCGAGTAGTGGGCAGTGGGGAGCGAGCAGTAGACTGCTTGAGGCATACTTTACACCATGCTCCACGCCACATGAAAGATATCCCTCTTATATCTCTTGCCAACATCCTACACAGGTAAAGTATTAAATTACATTACAGGTATTTGTAAGTTTTGAAGAGCACTGAAGGTCAAATATTTATAGTAAAAAATGGAGTAATATACAGGTACTCCTTGACTTACGACAACCCGGACATGCGACGGCCGTGGTCGTATAAAATATTTTTCAAATTACGTATTTTCTAGTACCGGCGTTAGTGATCGCGCTGTGTACCGACAAAATTTTTGTTTGTAATTCCCTTTAAAATGGCTGGCAAGCATAAAAGTGAGAGTTCTTGTGGTGCTGAGAAGAAAAAGAAAGAGACACCCATTTTAGAATTTCTATGTACTTATTTTCTCCTTTTCGACTTTCGACCAATTCGACTTACGACCTGGTCGTCGGGACGGAACCCAGTCGTAAGTCGAGGAGAGACTGTATGGCTAATTGTCACGTGGTAGTAGTATCAAGATTGGATTATAAAATTAATGAAAAGTTTTGTTATGAAGCAATAAAAGGCAGAAGAGGGTCCAATGGCCACAGCATGGCCCCCTATAATGAACAATAATAAATCTATCCATGATGTTGGACATATTATGGACAGGTTGTATAATATTGGAAAGATGTGTTTTTCCAGATTTCTTTGAATATTTGTAAACCAGTTTGTTTTTATGACAAGTCACTGTAGATAGGTATATGTTACTAGCTATCAATCACACACTAGTGATGATTGTATTGTGAAACCATTATACTGCCAGCTAGTATGCTATTTCTCCAGCATTACTCGTTTATGCAGAATTTTTTTCAAAGAGGGAACCAGACTACAATTAAAGGTATGAATCCCTCATTACCAGAATATTTAAGAAAATAAAATAAGCTTAGTTGAATGTAAGCTTTACTGTACATTATTTAATACAGTAGTCAAGGGTTAAACAAAACTTCACTGATTCTATAAGATATAGATTGAAACATATCCATAATCCATTTGCAAAGGAATACCATGCCATGTACATATGTACGTCAGGATGCGAGAGCCTTCAATAATCTTCGGGGAGACTTGGGGTTTTCTGAGTTCGTCTCTCCATTTTGAATATCGTTTGAGTTGGATGGAAAAGTGTCCGAGGTTGACCCCATCTGAGAATCACTAGGATCCGAGATAAAAGGGTCCGAGTTGGCGAGGGTTTACTGTATAAATTCAATAGACGTGTCCTTTAGGAAGTGGAGTCTTATGATGTACAGTAATTGATAAAACATTTTGTTTATTGATTCCATTGTGACAGTTTTGGAACAGCCTGTCTCCATCATCAGGCAAACTGAAAAGCAAAACTATTCATGGTGTGAGAACTCAGTTATATACATAAAATCATTTAAAGACTAAACAGTGCAGTGATTTCTTCAGCCTGTATTGGTATGGTTGACAAAGAATTAACATTAGTTTCAAGGTTATACAGGTTCCATCAAGCAAAATGAGGACACTCGTATGGATCACATCTTCCTTTCTTAAATAAAATTATTACTGTACTTCTAGTTCCTAATAAATTCTACCACTCAATCATGTTTTACCGAACTTAGAATGTACGAGTCTTTTTCATATGTTGACAGAATGTATTTTTGTGACACATCTCCTTTTACTTGTTTCTGATCATTACAGTATCATATAGTCATTGTCCTACTAATGTTTAATTGAAAGTATTTTGCCTTATTTCAGAGCGGGTCTTTACAACAATGCTCTTGTGGTAGCAAATATGGCATTGGAAATTTCACCTAAGTTTGTTGTCATCCATTTTACGATGGCCAATATATATGCTGCTAAGGTAAGTTATGTTCATATTATAATTTTCTATTTATAATAGCTTACATTAGTAAGTATAAAATAAAACTGTACAGTGCTATTTAATGGTAAAGTTTGGCGCATTTTTAAGGGCAGGTTTATGATGTGTTTGGTGCATAAAACTTTTCAGATGTGCATATAGTACCAGCTTTTCATAAAAAGAGGGAACCTGTACATTTTTGGGAAATTATTATTTATTTTAATTAGACATTTTACTTACTCTTGTTTTTGTTTACAGTAAGGAAAAAGTTCTGTACATGCTGGTAAATACAATTTCTAATTTATATATTCTCTTCTGACTTACAGGGTGATCTGGAGAAAGCAACTGCCTTTTATCAATCTACATTAGCACTTCAGTCCTCCTTTGAGCCAGCCAGAGATAGGTTACGAGCTATTCAATGTGCCACACTTAGTGATGAGACCTCTGTAAAAAACTAGGAGTGCTCCAGGTGATTCTGTTGAACATTATGACTTGCTGAATGTGCCATAGTTTTCACAGGCAGCAGCTGAATACCAATGCAAGTATTATTAAAATCTAAGGGGAATGTATACAATATTGTAAGATATTACATAAAAAGCAATGTAAAAGAAAGAAGCTAATAGTGACGACATAACCATTGCCACGTAATTTGTTTTGATGGATTTTTTTTTTTACTATACTTTCATTGCTGAGTTTGATAGATACTGTAATTAAGCCCCTAGACTCACACCATTTTTTTTTTTTTTTTTTTGCGGTTAAACGGCATGGTGGCCCGATCCATGCTGTCACATCAACAAAAAACATAAAATTACACCATATAAAAGTAAGTCCTTTATGTTTAATATGGCAGGGAGCGTAGGCCCCTGGCTAAGAAGTTAGGTAAGGTTAGGTAAGTTTCTTTGGTTAGGTTGGTGCCATCTGCTAACAATGCTTCAGCCTCTTGTGTTTCTTATCGACTAAGGTTAGGTTGGGTTTTATTTAGAAATAACCCCATTTTAATATATTTGCTCAAATTACAACAGTGTCCGCTGCAAAACACATTGCAGCATTTTTGAATTAATTTTCTATGAAAATTCAGTGATAGGCGTGTCGTCAATAATTACCAAGAAAGATATAGAAAATGTACTTCCTCTTACTATAATTAGACCACAATGAAACTTGTTAGGGGGATTATGCTTAGACTGATTTGTGAAAGTAAAAAGTGACAAGTTACATAAAGAACTTGTATACTGTATTGGTCAAATTTATTTTGTTTTATATGAATGATGCTGGTAAATACATTATTAATAGCATATAACAACAGAAGGGTATGATTCAATGGGTCAGTCTTTAATCACGATAAAGAAAAATATATTAAGTACCGGTACAGGCAAAGGATAAGATTTTGAAAGTTACCTTAATAGCTGGAGAAAGGATTTGGATTGAATTGGGCAGCATGAATTGTGAGGGAGTATTTTTGTTATAGGTGTTTGAAAAAAGAAAGAAAGAGAGAAAGCTGTTTAGAGTAACATTGGATTCAAATTGACTTTAATGCTCTTGTATGAAGTTATGGGCAGCTGTGAAAGTACAGTACAGTACTGTATAAATTTTAGCACTTAATGAAAGAATAAACCCTATTAGATGCTCCTAATTTAACACCATAAATGAAGACTATAAGTAACTAACATTGTTGGGTTTTTTTCAGACTAAGTTCTTAAAATTAGAAGAAAAAACTTTTAACCAAAATTGATTATAGCAAAATTTTATGAAAAGTTTGCTTACTTAAAAATTTATTGATTTTGTCATTTTAAGTACAGTATAGCATAAAAAGTTTCATGTTTATGCATACAGTTAGTTTGCTACTATTTTTTGGCATATATGGTAGGTCCGATGTGCTGAGGCTTGGTAATTGCATATATTTTAGATGCCTAGATTCAGTTATATGTCATGCCATAGCCTGCTATGGCATGGGTGTCTCTTTTTCTTCTCAGCACCACGAGAAATCTCACTTTTACGTTTGCCAGCCATTTTAAAGGGAATTACAAACGAACATTTTGTCAGTACAAAGTGCGATAACTAACGTCGGTACTAGAAAATACATAATTTGAAAAATATTTTATACGACCACGGCGGTCGTATGTCCGGGTTGTCGTAAGTTGAGTATGTCATAATTCGAGGAGTACCTGTACGTATTGTCTTTATATACAGTGGTTAAGTTTTCAAAAATTAATAAAAATTCCCAAATTTTTATTTGAAAAAGGAGATATTTTAGACACACATGAATGAGAATGGCTTGGTACAGTACTTTAGTTTTGTGAAATTTTTGGTAGTAAGATGGTAGTTCCCCCCTCCCATTTTTATGGGGTTGCTATTTTGGTTTAAATTTAACCCCCAATTGACACAAATGTGAGAATAATGTACAAAGATATGGTGTGTATAATAGGAATGAGCACAAGATCATGTGATGAATATGTAAATAGATAAAGGTAGAGCATCTCTTAATGTTAACTGTACAGTAATCAGATTTTTTTTTTTTTGTGATTGAGACAAGAATACTTTGCTCAAATGTACTGTATACAGTATATACACACTGCCTCACAATATTTTCTTAGTCTTTAAAGGAAAAAAAATACTAACTACTAAAAGTATTTAAATCAGTAGCCATAGTCAAATATTCATTATTTGGTGCAGATCTAAGATGATTTAAGGTCGTTTCATTTACAATATTTATGGATCATGTAAGATTTAATTTTTAATGTAAGTGTTTATTTTTATATGTTTGAATTACTGTACTGTGCACAAACTTTTTGCTTCACAAATGGTAAATTGCATGTACAAGTAAACCAAAATTTGCTGCTGTTGGTAACTTATAAACTTATTTATTTTAGGATCTACTTTATGTTTGCCGATTTGAAAATGTGTGATATTCATACTTTATTAGGAATGCATCATTTTGATCATAAGCTGCTCAAATGTTGAACACACAAAACAGTACAGCATTCCCTCATCAACAGCAGGAGTTACATTATAGAATTCTACCCTGGTTGGCAAAGGTTAAGCATAATAAAGGAAGTAACTTCAATGTCCAGCTGAAAAGTTGAAGATACGTATAGGGTGTATGTTATACTTTAAAAAATATATTATACTGTACAGGCACTGTACTTGAAAAACATTGTAATGGAGCAGGTCTCCCCTGATGCTGCATGCCTGGCTTCAAAGTTTTACTGCTTCCCTGGCAATACAACTAGGAGTTTGAAGACCTCATACCATACAAGATTTTCATATGCAAAGGTGTGTACTGTATGAGTAATTTTATTTTATTTTTTTACACAAGATCATACACCTAAGGGCCAAGAATACAGCTGTCAGAGTAGGCTCCTGTCTGTTTGTATGTCTGGCAGCTTTATATCTCAGTTATCCCATAGCACAGGTACTTGTATTTATTTTTCTGTTTTATTCAGTATTAACTTGTTTTATTATACTGATTTATTGCATAGTTTTATTTATACATATCTCAGTGAAAATTTGTTATTGCATAGAAATTTTTAAAATCTTCAAAACATATAACCAGATATATTATTCATCAACATTTTTCATATAGTATATACAAGTAGTATATATTACTGTATTACACATTTTAGGTTAATTTTCTTCTATTTAAAAAAAAATGTTATATTATTTAGAATACAATTTCTCTATAAATCTATAAATCTTTTGAGCAGTAGTGACACGGAGAGTGAGTACTACACCCACACTGTTAAGTGAATGTGTTAAATGATAACTATTGGCAGGATAGTAGAAAGCCATATACCATATAATTTGGGAAAAAAAATCGATATAAAGAGGTTATGAAAAGGTAGAAGATATGGGTGCAGTAGATGATAACTTGTCATTTGAGGAGCATATAAACAATGAATTGGACAAGACTAGTGACTTTATAAACCTGATCTGGTTAATATTTCTATGGCTCTGGGCCAGAAATCCTCTTCAGTGGCTATGGGAACCTGTGGATATTTAAAACTAGATAACATGGTTGGTGAAATGGTGTACAAGTGAATTAAATGTGGATATGTACTCAAAACTGTGGTTGGGAAAACTACAGTTGGTGAGGGATTACTGTACTTTATATGGTTATTGTCACATAATACTAATGAATCATTTTATTTCAAAGGTTCATCAGGTATTCTATATTTTAGTCAAAGGTGGAGTCCCACTGTTGAATCATGTTGTGGTGTCATTAGTGCCAAATCTATACAGTTACGTAATGTGTTATGACCTTTGTAGGCAGAGTATATTAAAAAATATATACTGTACATCGATTATCAAAAAGATGATAATAATAATATTAACTGCTGTGCAATCAGACATGCAGCTGATCACATACTAGAACAGAAACATCCCAGTAAAGGAACATTTGGGTTATGCCACTATGATTTTACGAATAAGCCTCCCAGAACCTAATTGGCTGTACTATATGAGTGCTCCCCCAGATTGACAAATAATATTTATTCTTTTGATAATGGGAAAAACTTCACTGAAGCAAAAAAGAACAAATATTTCCAAGTGCCAGTACAATACTGTACTGCACTGTACAGTATATGGTAATTAGCAGTAAACATCACATTTACCAATATAAAACAAAACATTAATGTTCCATATCTAGGTGCTAAGTGGATTGGCAAGTGATGCAGCAAAGTGGGTGACCGAAACTGTTTACATTGGCTAATGCTCACAACAAAATTGTAATTATGCCACCTAGTTTTAAGAGAAGAAATACTAAAAAATTATTTAATTTACCTACCCTTAAACACCTATAGTCTTCACATTATTTTAATTGAAGTAGTTCAGAAACCAACTCCCCCTAACCCATTCGTTAACCAATGTACTGTATTCCTGTACTATGTTGTATGATATAATTTTGCATGTATGGCATTATTGATGACTCTCAAGTATACAGTACTTGTTGCTCAACATTCTTGATACTGTAAGTATAGTATGTGAAACTGTATGGTAAACTTAAGAATACAGTATTAATGTGATGCTTTTGAAGGTAAATACAGTATAAAAATATTTGTAAAATATGAGAATGTAAATGGAATAATATGAATATAAAACTTTATAAGTTATGCAAAAGTATTTTATGAAACTAGAAAATAAAACTAAGAATAAAAAAGTGAATTGCTAGTAAGAATACCTGTACTATACAGTGTGTTCATCTTGTTGAAATAGTCTAGTCAATACTTGCCATACAATATTTATGGGTGCTACTTTAAACATTAAACTGAAAGATTTATGTATAATTTGTGTATGTACTGTATCTATATATGGTATGTGTAGGTTAGTGTTAATGGATACATAATTTTTCTTGAAAATTTTTTCTTTGTCAAAATGCATATTTTTTTGCTCTAAGTTGGAAATAATAATTACGGTATTGGTAATAACAACTTTCAGTATGACCATGGGACCACATTAGTATTTATCTTAAGTGTGATAATTATCTGTTTGTTAATTCTGTAAAGCAATAAAATCTTTCTACCCACCACAGGAGAAACAATAAAACAAGATATTTAGGTGAGAAACAATTTTAAGGAGATTTCTCTTCATTTAAAGTATGGCAATCTCTACGTAAATATGTAAAATTTCAAGAACTACATAAGTACCAGTAATGTATCTGTAGTTTCTAGTAAAATCTGAATACCTTTGGCCAAGTACATGTAATAAGTACCTGTACACTGTACACTGATATATTAATTTTTAAGATATACGTACAAGTAATTTAGTCTTGATGACTTTAATTTACTGCACTAGTATCTACACTATGAAGTTAAAAGTTAATGCAAAAGTTTGTGAGGCTTCATAGTGGTGAAGAGATGATATTAAAGTATTGGGTTTGCAAAATGTGTTTGTAGGTCACACAGTTCCTTGGTGTCTAAATTAGTGAGTACTTAATATTAATATTTCAAGGACAAAAAGTGTTGCATTTAATTTTGGAAATCAAGGGTTTTGTTGAACAAATTAATGTACTTAATGTGGTTGCTTCTGATTTGTATATATACGGGTGTAATGGGTTGGGCTAGTTACTTTTATGTTTAGATGTTCCACAACTCCATCTTCATATCATAAATTACTTGGAATTATATTTATCAGTTGTTCTTTATTTGTAATTAATTATAAATCTCTTGAGGATGGATTATGAAGTACCTCAGTTGTCTGAATAAAATTATTTATAAACATGAAAACCTTAACTACATTCCATTTTTACAGGCTTCACCAATTTATGTACTGTACTGTACTGGTACTTGCCTGGATTACCATGGCTGATTCTTGTATGCCTTTTGACCTTGTATGACATAAATTTGGCTATCGGTATTTTCTTTTTCTTTGAGAGACTAGATTACAAGATGTGATATAACTATAAAGACTCTGGGTTGATGGATGAATAATACTCAATAATATTTGGATGATATACGGAGACATTGTAATATCTTTTGTCTCCCTGAGGCCTGTGAAATACAGTACATATATACAGTACTGTATATATGTGTATATATATATATATATATGTATATCAATAAATTATAGATCTATGCCTATTCTTTTTATATTTTTACCTTATTAATATGGTTCAAACTAAGTACAGCAGTTGATCTTTAACTGTTTAAATTTTCTTGAGTGGAATGCTCTAAGTTTTGCTTTGTTTCTATAAGAAAGACTAGGGTTACCAGGCATTCCATACAGTACAATATACAGGATTGTCCTGTATTTTACTGCCTGGTTCCATTGTCCTGGAAAGGTCTTGTCAGAATGCATAATTACCCTGTTTTTGAGTGGTCCTGATACATTAACTTGGGAAAAAAAAACAGCAAATTATTGAGGTTTGCTACTATAACCGATTGTTTTTTTATGAGTTGTTTCGGTCAGCCAACCACAACCCAGTAATACCTGCACTTCTTGTCAGTTCAGGGGCTGGTGGGGGAGAGCAGTCCCCTGCTACACACATTAGCCTATGCCTTGTCAGTGACTAGCAATGTCAGTGTGTAGTCATGCTGCAGTGCGGCCAGATGCAACTAGCCTATACTGTACTTATACTGTACCAGTGGTTCTTAAAGTGTGGTCTGCAGACCCCTGAGGGTCTGGGGAATGTTCCAAGGGGTCTGTGAGCTATTTGGGGTCTCAATATATATTTGAAAAGGACCCCAGATATGGTCAAAATGTCGTCTCATTTTCAAATAAATTATTTTGTCTCAAAGCTAGAAGGTTTTATACACACTTGTCTATACATATTTTGCTAATTTTTCACTAACATAGTGACAAGATTTTCAAAGAACCTGGAAAAAGTATAAAAGATATATTGTTTGTTGTAAGGGATGAAGAAAGTCAATATTCTGTCACTGTGGGTGGAGGGGGTGATGGTACCAACATGTCTGCATCGGCTGGTGGCCAGTTCAGTAATTTGGTTTAGTAACAATTGACGGAACATTGAAGGGAGATGGTCGCTTCCACTCCTCCTTTATGTAAGAATTTGTAATTAAATATTCTGAAGGTTATGACAGCATACTCACCCATCTCTTTGAACTTTGCAATGAGGTGAAAATCTTCCTTCATAGATAAGATGGCGTCTAAGATCAAATGCATGATTTCAAAGGGTTCTCAAAATTGGCATACCAATCAGATGTTTTCAGTTCACTAATAGGATTGAATCTAGCTCTGTAGAAAAGGGCTGTTACCATCTAAGATATCCAGAACACAATATGGGAAGCACGCAAAAAGCTGGACATCTCAATTGCAAAGATTTTGAGTCCTTTCCTACCTTCACGGACTTCCTCCTCACTGCCAAAGAGGAGCTAGATGGCGACATAATAGAAGCCTTCAAAGCCCATCTACAAGGCTTACACTCGCAATTAGGAAAATATTTTCCAAAACCAGACCCATGCTTTGAGTGGATCAGAAATCCATTTGGAGACAACACCCACATCAAAGAGGTTGATTAACTTTGTTGAGATTTCAACAGATGGGCCACTGAAGCAACTTTTCAGGGAGAGAAGTTTGGCCAGAAAACCCTGGACTCTCAGAAAAGGCTTGAGGCACCTGATGCCGTTCCCTACAACGTACAACTGTGAGGTTAGATTTTCCACACTTTTTGAGCTGAAGACCAAAAAGTGCAACCAAATTAAAATGTAACCAGACATGACACTGAAACGCAGTACAGTCGTTTTGAACCATTCATTCCATTGGAAGAGAGATGGGAGGGGAAGGGTTGAGTGCAGTGAAATTTGTAATGTAAAACCATTAATAAATAATTCAGTAATATATCTTTAAGAATAATTTAGCCTATAAGCATAATATAAAGGGGTCCACATAAAAAAAAAATCTACTTATAAAGGGGACCACGACATGAAAAAGTTTAAGAACCACTGACTTATACAAAGCAATACAGTACTGCACTGTATTCAGTAAACTCTTCCAACAGTACTGTACTAAAATAATTTGTGCAAGCGCCATCCCTTATTGGTTGGATTCCCTGAATGGGAGGATATCCTTTTTACTCTTATACACCCACTAAAAAATTATTCAGCACCCATG